CGTGGGGTTACGCAAGAACTGCATATCGCACCACGTGTCAAACTCCTGGATGAAATCATCCAACTCAATGGTGCCCACTGCACCAGAGTACCGCCGTGGGCCCTTCATGGCCCCGTATATACCGTCCATGCCCCCAGTCCACGAGTGTGGGACCCTAGACGATATCACCACCAACGATCCGCTCTCTGCCACACTCCGCGCCTCTACAACCACTGATGCGCTAGGATGAGGTAGCCGATACCTCAACCCACTCCGCGTAAATCCTCCACGGTCTTCAACGGAACCCCCAAACTCCTCCGTGATGACTGACTCACCAATCGGCACCACTGCCACAACTCCACCTGCCCTTGTCCCTGCACTAACCTGCTCTAGCCCTACTGACTATGGGTATGGACAACCTAACCTGTCATCACCGCAAGAAGACTCTCCTGGTCCACTGGTCATCACTCCAGTCTCACCATGAGAGAAACAAAGATAGGCGCCGGTGATCAAATCCAGCCGCACTATCGACAGCACACTGGAGTAAAACTACTCCGGAAATCAACGTCAACCCAGACATGGGCGCGCATCAAAAAGCCAGACTGGAGAGGATCCAAACACAAGCAAACAGCTAGCAACGACTCTCCAGCCGAAATGAAACACAGCACAGAACAACACAACACACGGGACATCGCCTCGCATCGTGACCCCGAGTCGAACTCCATCGCCTCCTATCATCCTCCGCCACTCGCGCCTGCAACGCTATCTCGCTCATCCCGTCGCAAAGATGATATCGACCCTTCCGCCTTCAACGCCTACAATGTCACCTCTTCCACTAACTCGCCAAGGGAGTCTCCACATTGAGGTGTCCAGTACTGCGCCTCACAACTTCACTGTCACTAGGGACAAAGAACATAAAGAAAGCCTATATACCTAACTGTTTCCCAGAGGAAAAGTAATAACGATAAAAACTTCTTTTTTTTTTTTTTTTTTTTCTCACAACTGAAAAATCATAATAAATGAGACCGAGTGCAAATCCTCAATCTCTCCAAAAAAATAATTCTTCTTTTTTTTTTTTTTCTCTCTCTTTTCTTTTCTTTTTCCCTTTTTTTTCTCTTTTTTTTTTTTCCACAAATCAAAAGAAATAATAAGAGTAGTTGAAAGGTAAACCACAAATGGCAGGGCAAAAGAGTTTGCGCTGAACCTGACCGTTACAACATATTCTTGGTCTCTACTTAGACTAAACGCCCCAATAATATAAGCAAAATAAGCTTGAGGTGACTAATATACTACATATATCCCCAATCAACTAGATGTATATGATGCAAGATGGAGCAAAACATGACCTTCTATTCTACGCTCAAATCTTCACCTTGCTAAAAGAACCTAACAATAATAACTAAATAAAGAAATAACAGGAAAAGAGAACCCATTGTCGACGAATGCTGACTCCGCTAGTGCTTAAACCGTACTCAGAACACAGAAACTGGTTCAAGGATTCTCACTCACAGAAGGGCCTCATAAACCATCTAATCTCACAAAGACGTGCTCACATTCTGCATTCCTCTCTATGTGTTGACTTTCACCAAACCCAGAATCGGGAGAATAGCTTCGGCTTCTAGTTGTAAGCTGACTGTGTTACAGTTCGACCCGTTGTTCAGATAGCGTCATATGCTTGTTCCTGAACTCGCGATTTCTTCCGCTTTGGTACTCTTGCGTCGACAACAGAGTCTCCTCACAAGCGATTGCTCAATCACTCAACCCTGTTAATTGAGAACCTCGAGTATGAAGAAGCTTACAAAGTCGGGATCTTCCCGAAACAGGATCCTCTTCGTTCGAGATCAAATTCAAAGATTGAACGTCGTCCTTTTATACGGCTCCCCTCACTCCCTGCCCTGGGCTGACTACGTGCAGCTGAGGTGAATGTGGTGAGGACTGGTGATCACGTTCTCTGACATTCGGATACTTAGATCACCTTCTTTCCTCAAGCGGCACGATGCTCGTGGGTTTACTATGAGACACCGCACATGTCAACATCCGCCACACAAGTTACGTGAACGTACGAATGACCGTCACACAAATAAATTGAAGAATCAATGAAGTAGAGACGGGCAGAGGTGGAAGAAAAAAAACGAGTCCTCCTCGACAGATAATTCCGTCGGATTCGACACAGTCGATCCTAAGGGAGTAACGGGAGTGAATCACAATTCTTGTAATCCACTGTTAATAAACTTCTTCGACCGGCCAACGGAAATAGCTGGAGCTTGCATTACATTGCATTACAGATGTATATCGTGGAAGAAATTCGACTGCACCATAACTCCAGAGTCGGGCAGATTGGGTCATCGATACTGGACACAAATATGAACTCAATCAATGCAAACTCATATTAAAGTCACCGTCGTGGACTTGTGGCCGGCCTGTCTCTCGCTTGACAGACAGATCGAGGCTGCAAAGAGTCACGAAGAATTGCTCCACTCCCGCGACGTCTTGGAATAAAATGGGCGTCGAACTTCATGCGGCTCGACATGAGGCGGCGATCGAGTCCAAGTTAATTACATGAACAAGAGAGGCACAGTGGCATGAGCCCTGGAACGATTTCCCACCTGTGCACCAGTGAACTAGTCATGCCCTTCATCATTCATGACCTTCAATGTCATTCAGCCTATGTCTCAGCAAAATACGAATTTGCCAGGTCCCAGATTGAAACTTTGACGAATCAAACCTCCTCCCGCTTTCCGCCGCAGCTCTCCGAACCCAACCGCATGCAAGTTCCACAAAGCGAAGCGGGCGACACTCGACCAGTCAGTCAGTCAATCGCCTTTCACGAAACGCATGAACAGGAAATAACAAACCTCCACAGAGGTTCACGTTCTCGTCCTGCGACAGAGCGCACAGCGCCTGTCTGAAAAAATTCAAACGATTGAGGACCGAGCCGAACAAGAACTCCAACGCAGCGCCATAATCACGCCATAATCCCGTCACACGCGACGAGAAATTTTCTCCAAAGGATCGAAAAGGAAACGAAAACTATAATCCGCATTTATATCATATGGCAGTTCTTCGAGTAAAAGAAATGTCGAAACACGAATACACAAAGAGTCGAGCCAAACTCACTACTCGTAAGTAGACTAAAAGTCGAAGCTAAGGGGAAAAACCCCGACGCGTAAGGCTCAACTCGAAGAACTGACAGTTCTTCGAGCTCGCCTCGAATATAACCCACGGAAGGTGTCGACGACCTCAACGTGCATGGCGTCCCAACGTGCAGGGCGTCCCAACGTGTACCGCGTCCTAACATGTCTACACTCAAATCCACACTAACGTCTCGAGCCATGACAGCACCCAATTTCATGTGCGACTGGAAACTTGCTTGTGAATGTAGAGAACATGCTCCTCTTGCATGGATGGATTTCTCTCTGTGCATTGACGGATGCATCTGAAGACATCCGGTTTCCCCCATCTCCCATGAATCTTACACATTCAATTTCATGTGCGACTGGAAACTTGCTTGTGAATGTAGAGAACATGCTCCTCTTGCATGGATGGATTTCTCTCTGTGCATTGACGGATGCATCTGAAGACATCCGGTTTCCCCCATCTCCCATGAATCTTACACATTCTCGGCCCAGTTTGAGAATTTTGATAGACAAAGTTTCACTACCTGCACCGGTTGTTAATACTAGAGTATGCACGATGTGCCGCGTGGATGGGTCCCATTGGATAAAACGAAACGTCAAGCAATTTAAATTTCCACGAGGTCCCATGAAGTAAATATCTCTCTAAACCTTATTCCAAACGCCATGACAAACTTTGAATACCAAAATGAAAATGAATAAAAAAAAGTTTGCACACATTTGAAATAGTCCAAAACATGGGAAGACTCCGTTAGCACTGTTTTTACTACAAATATTGACCTACATTTTGACTGTTCATATAAACGGTCGAATTATGTGAATTTGGTACACATTACATGTATTGTAACATTACTTATTTTTACAATGATATGAAGAATCAATACCTAACAACCCAAATAACGAGGTCAAGTTGATTAATGTTATATTCAAACATTATTCATATTGAGTCCACAATGCTAAATTTGATAACTACAATGAGCCAAAATGCTTGGAATCAACTGTTTTTTGCATAAATCTTTCATTTTAAGGAACATTATACACATCAACTCTTTGAAACCTTTCACACTTGTAGAAATTACAAGTACAACAGCTTTACAAAAATATTTGCTCTAATATTTGCTTTTAGAACTTTCTTTTTGATTTGTTCTTATTATTATAAAATTTAGGCATAGAATCAATTGACATCATTGCGAGACATAGAAAAATAGTTCTGTCTTGGATGAGCAATCATTCAATGAATCAAACTTTCCTGTACGAAGTACATTTAATTTGTAATTAAATACATGACTGATTAAAAATCATATTGTGCAATCAGAGACTCAGATACTTGAAATGGCCAACCTCAACTCCAGTCCTGTACCAGATATAATTTGTACTTAATGAGGCTTAGTAGGACATTTTAATACTCCACCCGAAAGGGAAAACATGCTATGTCAGAAGTCACCATCGGAGGAACCAAGAAGTCAAGATTAGTAATTGAAAATACAAGGGATACCGACTATTGAAGTAAAGACGACTGAAGAGCCCCATCTTGTCGTCCGGGGATGAGACGAAACAGATAACATAGAGCTATGTCCCCAAGGCATCACCATGGAGAATATGTCATACAGCACCTAAGAATCCGAACCATCTAGAAACCATCTCCAAACAACTAGAAAGTAGAAAACTAAACTTACTTTCATATTTCTGTTACGTTCATGAGGACAATGAGTTGGTCCCAATCTGATGAAGCTGGCAGCCTAGTCAAGAACACAGGCCATAATCTGACAGTTTTCTCACAAAAAAATTGCAGATACGAGCTTGCCACATACATAACTGTGTGAGCCAATCACTACAACCCAGACGTCTCCGTCCACCACGCAATAGACTATAACAGGACAGTGTGTAATCAATTGAGTAACTGGGATCTGAGATTCGATTAACTTTGTTCAGAGCTTGGTCTGCTTCAGGAGAAGTAGATAAATACTGAGCCGATGACACACTACAATACACTCGATGTACAGTGACAGCCAGAAAATAAACATCTCATGAGACATGCATAACTTTCTGGCAAAAACTCAAACTTGAGGCGTGCAACTGCTAACGTCACCAGTAGGACTTACGTCCTACTGCTTGGTGATGAATAACTGGCACCGTAATAAATGACCTATTGTCCACAACTTTCCATTTCAATTTTTGACAGAAACTATACCTGCCTCACAGAAGACGGTGCACGATCCTTAAAGCAGGGAATAGAAGCAAACCTACACATCCTGTCTCAGAAGAGGTTCAATACAAGAAGCTTAAAAGACTACAAAAAACCTTTGCTTCCCAGACCCTGGGGGAATCGTGAAGAAACAGGTGCAGGTCTTTTCCAAGGGGAATCGACACCTTTCGGCGAATCTTGTTGCTCTTGACGTGCCACCTTTGGATCTATTAATGTTTTCTGGAAAGTTTGTGAAAATCCTGTAGCTATGATAGTGACGTGCACTGCCCCTGTGTACTTCTCATCCACCACAGCTCCAAAAATTATGTTCGCAGCTGGATCTGCGAGCCCTGTGACAACCTGCACAAATGGATACATAAATAATTAGGGGTAAAAAAATGTACAGACAGGTTCCCGAAAAACTCTGACATGACTATGTTCGACGTAGGACTGAAGTAACCTCTTATGGATAACATGAGTTCCGAAGGGCTGACCTATACGGGTTCAAGACGTGCAGAGAAGAGGAACCAAAAATAAGATACAAGAAAATACGACGCAGAGTTAACCCCAACATGACCTCAAGGAGCTCGAGAACTGGTCGAGAAGAAAACCTGAGAGACTCTGTTAACTTCTTGGAGTGTAAGATCTTTTCCACCAGTGATGTTATAGACGACTCCAGTTGCTCTTTCGATAGATCGCTCGATAAGAGGAGCGGACGTGGCTTGCTGTGCAGCTTCCTCTGCACGGTTTTTACCAGTGGACATGCCCACACCCAACATCGCGGTACCAGAATTGCTCATGACGGCTTTCACATCTGCAAAATCGACATTCACCAACCCAGGAATCTGCAGCACCAAGTTTTTCGAGAGTTTAGTTCCACAGTAAAGCAAATGTACAGATATGAGCATTCTACCGTAACTGCAAATATGACGTGCAAATGATGCCAAACCTGCGGCCATCAATTGGGTCAAAAGTTGTTCATTTTGAGATACAAACAGTAGCTTCAAATGTGGCAATCCGTATATTAGAAGATATTATATGTGGTCTGTGAAGCATTATAAGAATACATTTGAATTGATGAAGATGTAAGAATATGGCAACTTACTGTAATTATATCTGAGATTCCTTGCACACCCTGCCTGAGCACGTCATCTGCCAGAAGGAAGGCTTCTTGTAAGGGTGTTGCCTCTTGCACTACATCGAGAAGTCTGTCATTCGGAATTACAATGAGGGTATCCACGTTCTTGCGCAGCTGCTCAATTGCCTCCAAACCCTACGAGAAGGAAAGAGGGAAAAAAGAATCAATAGTCTTCATCTTTGGACGACAGAGCCATTGGGCAAGCCAGATATTGGCTTCGTCTTCAGTTGAAAGTCACTGTCAGTATGTATCTAAGCTTCACCAACCATTTCAATTTCAATCCAGTCCCTTTGCTTTGGTTGGATGGATCAGGTTGACAAAAAAACTTGTTGGCAAAATTCCTACATGCCAGATCAGCCAAAACTCGCACCTGCTGTGCCCTTCGACGGCCTTCGAAGGTGAAAGGATAAGTGACCACTCCGACTGTGAGTTGCCCTCCCTCCTTAGCCAATCGCGCAACAACGGGGGCAGCACCAGATCCTGTACCTCCTCCCATACCAGCTGTGATAAATACAAGGTCCGCATCTGACACGGCTTCCGCAATGGCTTCCAAAGATTCTTCAGCTGCTTTCTCACCCAGCTCTGGGTTTCCACCAGTACCTGAAATTCATTGTCCATAATTATTAATCCGCAAAGGTGTAACGGTTCCTCTGAGGGCCGGAACAACGAAAAGCAAGCAGGTACAGGTTGCAAAAGAAGAACTGACGAAGAAAGTTTTGAATACTATACACGTGAATACTATTCAATCGTGAAGCTCATAAACAGCACTATCAATTTCGTGAACACACTTGTATCTTTTGCAGTAAGGCTGTTGTAAACAAGACTTAAACCCCACAGATGATAATTACTACGGCAAGAAAGAGGACAGTCAGCAACACTGCACTAGCCTGCCGATAGAATTCTCCTTACCTAAACCACGTGTCAAAGTTTCTCCTATTTGGACACGGTGTGTAGCGGCAGACTGAAGCAAAGCCTGCGCATCGGTATTGATTGCCCAAAATTCCACACCCTACGGAAGAAAAACAACAACGGTCAATAATTTTACTAATCGAAAACAATAAGAGGTCTCTAAAATGCAGGCATGCACGACTTGACAAGATATTTCCGACTGTGGATGAAAACCCCAGTATTACAAAGCCCATTCAGATCAGGATGTTGTTCGAAAGTGTGGATTTGTTCGAGATGATAAAGCTATCATCAAGTCCTCAACTGGCGAGATAAATCATAAAACTGAAATTAAAATGAGGACAAAGACGCTGCTGCGAATTATGCTCTATAGAGAAAACTTCACAACCAGAACACTGAAATTAGAGGAAGAAATCAGAGAGATATCCTTAATAAAATTATATTGTACAAGGCCCATCATATATATGGCAGAAAGAGTTTCATTCTTGCGGGAGGACTGAACAATGTGGATACACAGGTACGTGCGACTGGAAAAGGTGGTAGTCAAGGTCCTAAAACTGCCAAAATGTTCTGAAAGGAAATTTCCTTTCAAAATATTTTGGGAGTTCCAGAGAGAGCAGAACAAGACCCAAGATGTAACTTTCTTAATTGACTGGTCAACTGATTTATCTTGCTGAAAAAGAGAGACCAAAAAACCAAAATAAAACCAAAATATCGTAAGAGTGTCATGAGAAAGATGAACAATTTCATCGAAACTCAACTTCTGTTCAGCCGCGTAGAGGTATCGCTCTAATGGCACACTCAAGTAAGGTTGGTCCATGACTTCTACTCGGAAATAAGTGTGTGACACCTTGTATTAATGAAAGGAGAATCGCAGCTCAGACATTGAGCATTCCACAGAACAGAAAGAAAGATGTGCAAAAGAAATCAGGAGATTTCTTTTGCACTAATGGACTGTGTAGCAAGAATGGCCTGGAAGCAACATGGCTGGCTCGTATGTATAATTTCGACTACTCGAGCTACTCGGACTCGAAAACACCACAAACGATTCAGAGCGAAATTGGCAGCTTCAAGGGTTGAAGACGATCGAATGGCCAGAGAGACGGCGAAAGGGTAGCAAGAGAAGAAAAATGCACATTCAAGAAAAAGTGTGAAGCTTAACACCAGCGGACTTGGTGACGGTGAACCAACCTGAAGCCCGCTTCCAATCATACGGTTGATAGCATTGTTGCCGCCACCACCCACACCGATAACTTTAATGCGAGCGGAGTCCATCGGTATCATGGACGCAAAAATCCGCGTTCCCTTCGCGCTCTTCTTCGCACGCTGCCATTCCGCCCGCTTGCAGTCATGCTGCAAGGTGCCACTTCGCCCCAGATACGGTGAAAGAAGTGAGCTCACTTTCCCGTGTAAGGCTGGCAGAGCACAACATCTTGCAGCCGGGCCGACGGAGCCGCAAATCGCTGGCCTGGCAGCAGAGGCGAAGACGGGGCTGGACCCATGGCAAGAATTCGGCGTCAAGCTCGGCCTGACCTGGACATACATTCTGAACCACAGAATGTATGTCTAGGCGCAAGAGCGCTTGCAGGGATTTTCCACCCCCGACAGATTGCTCGCTCCCTCGCGTGCGCTGCAATTACAGTATTCGACCTCGACTCTCGCTCCCGATATCGACTCGCTGCCTCCCTCGCTCGACAAGCACCGACTGGACTGGGGGCGCCGGGGAAGCCTCGACTGTCACCGCCCGCCGAAGCATAGACGCTCGCCCGCGAACGAATCGGCATCGCTCGGAAATCTGCGGGCGCCAACTTCGCTCGCTCCTCCGGTCGGCGACCGGATCTTTCCGCGCGCCAGCCCGTCGGGTCTATGGGTCTGTATAATTGGATTCTTCGTAGACTGCGCAGTATAATACCATATAATACTATGTGATGTAAAATGTAGGGAATAACACTCAGAGGTCCACTTCATTCATTTATAGATGCTAACCTCGTCCACCACTTCCTTGGCCTTGAAATTACCCCTCGTCAGGCATGCCGTGTCGACGCTTTCGGATATGTCAAAGCGATGAAATTCTTCACCAACACCAGCATCTTCATACTCGTCAACGGGGTACTCTTCAAGTTCAGTCTATTACAAATTTCCCAACTTTTGCAAAATAATATCTTTTGGCTTTCTCATTTCGAGTAGAGTCTATCACTCTTGTAACAAGCAATCAACACGTGTGCGGACTACACTGATGATTTTTTTTTACAATGTATAATTTGGGTGTGATGTATAATACAAAGATATCATACGACGAGTATAATACCGCAATTATATATACACACCTATAGTCCGGTCCACGGTGGCCGGCCATCATAGCTCCGTCTCCCGGTCGCGCCGGTCGCTCGTTTTCCTCCGTCGCGCCGGGCTCTGTATGGCTGGAGACCCGCTGTGTCCTATCTGGACATCGCCAGCCCGCTCCACCGGTACCACCGTACCCACCCCACCCTCACCTCGCCGGGCCCGCGCTCGTCGTTTTCTCCGCGTTCGCTGCCTATCTGGGCCAAAGCCAATGGGCTTGGACCTAACCAATCCGACCGATCGATTTCCTTCTTCCGTTCCTTTCGATTTCTCCCTCCGTGAGACGATCCGAAGATCTGAGAGAGAAGAGACTGAGAGAGAAGAAACGAAGGCAGGATCTCGGATTGTCAGCCTTTTGGTTTTGAGATCTGCTCGACTGTTCGACGGCAATTCGTGGACTTGGACATCTTCTGATTTCCACGGCTTTCGTGCGTAGATTGGAATAGGTATTCGTTGCATATCCTAACGAGATGTGAGTGGAGGTGTGAGTGTAGTCGTCTAGGTTAATGAGTGACGGGTGGAAAGTGTTTTATGGGGTTTAAGGACTTCGTCTGTGACCGCTTGCTTTGTCGAGTAAAGAGCAGATGATTGCTCATGGCCGGAGCGTTGATTTACAGACACATTCCTCAGCAAGCTCCCTGCAGATTTTCTACTCTTCTTAGAATATCTTCGTCTTCCTCTTTGCGTAGAAGCATGCGGAAACACTGTCACTGATAGGATTTCTCGGGCCCTCGAGAGTCGAAGCGAGAGAGCGCAAAACCATCGATGCAGAACTGAGCACGTTTCTGGATGCCCTTCCATTTCCATGTCTGAAGCAGTCGGCCAAAAGCAGGGCTGCCACCATAAGGTCTTTTGCAATCATGCTAGAGAAGTATTTCAAAACCCATAATTATTTATTGGCATGATATCGGTTCTGGAATGATTTTGTACTAATAGTTTAATACAAGGGAGTGTCTTGTTCTCACTCACTTCTGGCTAATCGTCCTTCACCCAATACTCACAGATTTTCTATGATTGTTCGATACAATGCAAATTTATTATCGGGAGATATAGCCTTCGCGGGACAAGGAAAAGGGGGAGAAGTAGTGCTATAGTATAGGCTATTGGGTGGGGATCCATTCCGCCGTGGGGCATATTTGGAAGGGCGGACAAACGAGACTCAAATTCTTGATTATGTGATCGCGTAAATGGATTTATATCTCATTCATTTGTGACGGGAGATATATTACAATGTCAACACAGTATTGGAAATTAGAGCAAGAGTATAATGGTAGAGATAACTAGCCGCTACCTAATACAATTCATTAAAAACATCATCAAAATCAAGTTTTTTAAGGTTCTTAATTAACTCAAAAATATTCTAGATGAAAATTGAGTTTTTTCCACCGCTGATAATCCAACTATCATTGAAATCAGGTATTTAAATTAACTCAAGAATATTTTAGATAAAATTTGGGTTTTTCCCACCCATGGCCAAAAGCATGTCTAGGGATTTTTGGTGAGGGAAACCGCTTTCAGTCTGGCTTCCTCAAGATGTAATGAGGTTAGTCAGAGTTCTCCCTCTATCCTCCAATACTGTGTTGACTTTATAATATATCTCTCGAGTCCTTCACATACTTATATCCCAAATTAATGAGAGATTTAAGTCAATTTACTAGAGCCAAAATAAACAGAAATTTGTGTCCAAACAAATTTGAGGCTCTTTAGTACGTCCTTCCAAATATGCCCCACGCCAGAATGGATCCCCATCCAATAGCCTATCTCATCATGCATGAGTTTAAGTAAAAAATGACGTTTGCTCTTTGAAATCATGCACATCATTTTTTTTCTTTATGAATATAATTTAACAAGATGAATTATAAATATTTTTCAATGTAATAAATACAAATTTCATTTTCAATTACCAAAAATCATCTGTACAATTTTTTTGATATTGTTTGATCTCGAATGGTTTTTCAACTACTTTGAAATGCATCTTCTAATTGAACTAGATTAGATCTTAGAATTTAAAATTCATTGATTAGTTAAACCTTTCTTGAGTACTCTTTATAACTTATATGCATTTATGCAATAAATCTTACTTCATGAAATATGAAAATGTATTAGAATTAAAAAATGTGAGGTTTACTTAAAAAAACACTCTTGAAGAACACGTTCTTTATAAAGTTAAAAAATAATCATTTGAGAATGACCTTTTCACCTTGTTGAATTTTTCTAGATGATAGCAAACTAAAAACATTATAATATATAATTGTAGCAATACAACAATGATTGTAAATTTTTTCGGAAATTTTTGTAGAATGATTGTAATGTTACTTAGTAAAACATATGCATCTACATTCAAAGCTAAGAAAAACGTTTGCTTTGCTTGCTAATTCAAGCCAAAAACTTTTTTACAACTTTAACTCTGTATGATGATTTATGCATGTGATACATTCTAACAAAGTTAAATTATTTTAGGCAAATTTTTTTATATCTCAATAGAATAGGAAAAATGAAATAGATACATGAAGATAAAACGAGTTTAGAATACATCCCAAAGATCATGTTTGTAGAAATTAATAGCTCTAAACATGCTCTTAGTAGTTTCATTTTGTTCGTTAATAGGAGCATTAATATCTTCAAGGGTCTACAAATGAAAGTTGTCAAAAATAAATCCCATTAGTCAAATAAGATATTCCGAATCATTTATTTTGATATAGCACAAAGAATGATTGAATCAATTAGAGAATTAAGTGCATTCATAAAATTTCAGAAAGATTTTAGAGTAGGAAGTGTGTTAGGTGGTAATATTAAATTTAGGGAGCGGCCAGTTATACCTTGATTTTGGCTAATTATTCCTCACCTGCGTGTTTGGTTGTGTGCTGTGTGAATCCAGCTCGGTTTAGCGATCCCCCTTAATCTGGCGTGGCTGCCTGAAAAGATAACGGTGGCGACGAGAAGTTTCAAGATTGAAGATATGTTTGATAGGTTTTCTTTTTAGAGTTTGAGGATTAGAGATATGTGTTTTTTTAGAATTCCAAGATTGCACACTACCTAATAGATCTTCTCAGTTGAATAATCTATTTTGTTTTTGTGTCATTTAACTTTATCTCTTCTTAGTGACCGTCTTTGTTCAATTTGTGTTCGAATGAATCTAACATAACATGATCTATGAAAGTTTATTTCTTCCTATTCATGACATGACCAACAGATAACACCTTTTGCTACATCTCCATCGAACAAATCTTCAGGTTGCGCCTTTTGAAATAATCTTACTCCAATTTTTTAATCCACATCAACCCCATCAATAAGTCGTATTTTCTTCTTGATGAGTATTTTTTTCTTGATACTTCTAGGTGAGAATAGACAAGAACAAAATGTACATCTCTACATGACTAGTTAGTCTATGTAACCATGTCACATTTATTGTGTCAAAATGTTTGATGACTCGTAGTGAATAAAGTGATAGTGTATTGAGCGTAAATAGAATCGTAGCTTCACGGATGAAAGATTATTCTGGTTGTCCAACCGCACACTTTTATTTCCTTTCGACTTGGAAAAAACTGTTTCTTCTTTGTTTTCGTTGTCCTTCTCTTCCTCTTCGGCTTTTTTCCTTCTTTCTTTGCAGCTTTCTTGTCATGCTCTTCCTTTTCATCACATAGTTTTGCTTCCGCGACAGTCTTGGTTTACTCTTCATGATCAACAGGTTTCCATGGATGATGAATGCAAGTCCGTCCAAACTTACTTTCCATCAAAAAGTTACATATCATTGTTTCCTTTTCCATAGACTCAGTCGACAATCCACAACTCTTTCATCTTTTTCCATGACTCATGATTAAATACTAAAGCTTCAAAGCACTTAAATTTGAGGTTCTTAGACAATCCAAGAGAAAGCTCAAACTCTACGCTCAGAAGCACTTTGCATCCGTTTGTTTTCCGATCTATTCGCTAAAACGTCTCAGTAGATCTCAAGAAATCATGTACAATATTGTTGCATTCGAGTTAGAAGACAATAAGGCAACCATGTGACTAAAAAGTGTTGAAATTTATTTTGTGTATCAAGCCAGGGAAAATAGTTTGATCCCCAGTTACTCCGATTGCACGGTTGTTTGAAATTTTAAACGCCGTGAGTTCAGATTGATGTTATGCATCAGTCTAGTGAACACTTGACGCTTTATTTGCCAATGTCACATCTCTCCATATTGATACTCTGCAAGTTTTGAGTTTTCACGAAACAAGTGAAGAGGAAATTATTCGGTGGTAATGTGCTCACATGCGCAGCGTTGTTTAGACATGTACTATGTCAAACTGATCCGTGCAAGTTGCTCATCACCGTCTCCATACAAAATATGTGCAAGCATTCTTTCATCCAAGCATTTGTATCACAATGTGTCTTAACACATCTTTTGATTGGTATTAAGATTGATACAATTTTAGATCTTTAATACTTATTTCATTGATGTTGAAATTCAACACTAGCCTTGTGAGATGAACTTTAACGCCCCAACGCCTTGGCGTGCATCGCACAATTTGTATTTTCTTAGTATAGTCTGCTCTCTCTATAATTCTCTCTTTCGTGACTATAGTGATTTTATCTACTATTCAATATTTATTTATTCTTTACTATTTATTCTATTAATCTGCACTTATTTATTCTTTCAAATATACAGGCTGACATTGTTTGTACTCTAATCTATATGTGTATGTGAATATTGATTTTTCCTCTAAGTGAATTTAGTGCCTTAGTGCTAAATTAATTCTACTATTCTGTGTTTAATTTAATCTCTTGATGATCTAGTATGTGCAACTTCTATTGAGATGATAATGGTTTCATTTCCACTTGTTCAACTTCATGTTCCGGAACTGGAAGCTGAAAGTATAATAAGAATGGATTCAAAACCAAACTCGAAATAAAAAATGGAGATACCACGTGGATGAAAGAAAGCGGACAAGGTGATAAATCCAAGATGGCATTTTTTTTATCGCTAGTTTGAGAAGTGTAGTGGAAACCGTTATGGTTCAAAGTGTATTCATCGTGGAAAGATGCTTGATGGTAAAACTAACAAATTGGATTATCATATACTTTATCATTGTACGTTGGATTCTGTAAGTAGAGATGAATATTCGCATTGTATAGTGATTTTTTAAAAATATACGCATTTCATCATAATTTTCAATTACATCGCAACTAGATTTTGAATCCGAGCAAATGACTTCTTTTGGACATCACTTGCAACGTTTGCCTAAATTCTTTAGTCCTTTTATGGATGTAGATGTGCAAGAGAGTTATCATTTGCAATTTGTACACTTTCTAATTACCTTCAACAATGCTTTCAATGTATGGCGCAACAAAGAATTTGAGATCTTCATTCGTAGTATCACTTCTAATTACAATCTTCCTTCTAGAAGGGTGGTCTTGGACGACTATTACAAAAATGATAAAGGGAGTATCTATTGAAATTGAAAAAACATTTGAAGTATGTCAGCGATGTGACGATAACTATGAACAGATGGGAGTATGTCTCCAACAATTCAATTTACACTGTGATGAATATTACTAATCTAAAACAATGGATTTTAGACATCGTACATTTTACATGACGATCAATAGTGAATGCATTGCAACAATAGCTGATAATGTAAACTAATAAACGTCTTTTTCTATTTACAGTTGTTGTTCCTTTTGTATATGATAGCCCAACTACCATGATTAGATTGAAAAATAATTTGGCAACCTCAAATTTGAATATTATTTCCTTGCGTTGTGCATTTCATTTACTCAATCTGTTCACAAAGTATGGATCATCTCATGATACTATGAAATAGGTTTTAAAAAAATTTGCAAGTTGATGATTGTTTTCACAAGTTCACAGTATTGAACAATACATCTCAAGATCCCAGATGAAATAAAAATAACATTAGTAACTTTCTGTCAAAACACATTGGTATTTAGCTCTACTTGTATGTCGCTCCCCTACGGTAAGAGAAGAACTTCGGGCCTCCGCGCCTACCTTTGATTTAACGCGCCATCTGAACTCTCAGATGGTTTTTAATTCTTTTAAAAAACAAAAAACACAAAAACATATTTGATAATCATTATTATCAAATAATTATTATTGTCTAGATGTTACATTCTACCACAAAAAATTTCAACGTTGCGTAAATAAATCAAAGCTAGCAAACAAAACTCTCATCAACAAGTACATATTCAAATTAATGAAGAATGATTATCATTTTACAATTATTAAATAAATTTGTAAACTTATGAAACCCATAGCTGATAGCTTAGCTACTCTTGAGTAAAGTTCAATTACATTATATCATATTTTTGTCCAACTCATCAAACTGTACACAATTATGAAAGACAGCAACGTTACATAAAACTGCATCAATTTAAAAGTTAATATGATCAAGATTATTCAAAATAAAATTTATGTTTTGATTTTATTTTTTAACAAAAGTATTTTCTATTGCTACTCATAATACGACAATGGAGGTATTAATTTCAAAAATTTCCAACCTTATATAGTTGAAACACATAAAGATGCTTGTCATAACTAGATCAAGTCTTGATCTACACATGTCATTGTCAACCATCATGAAATCTACACTTGTCATAATTAGATCAAGTCTTAAAGTACACATGACATTGTCAACCATATGCGAAAGAGACTTTCAATTCGCAAGACTTGACCGGCCGGGAATGCGAATTGAGCTCCCCATAAGTACTGGGGATCGGCACTAATTACTCCTAAATTCGTCACAAATAGCTCGACCCTAAACCCTTGCGTCTTCCCAAGAGAGGTTTGAGGGGCTTGCGGGCTGACTAAAGGCTTCTGATAATTGTGCAGAATATCACTGCAGACCACCGAAGTAGGTCACAGTCATAATGAAGGTAGACATCGTAAGGAATGCCTCGGTTGCCCAACCGACATTTTTCGAAAACTGTCAAATAACCTTGCTTGGCCTTATAAGTAGTGAAGGCTTCGGGGGCACCAGCGAGACTTATGGAGAAACCATGAATTTACTGTTTGCTTGGCTTTATGAGAAATAATGAAAGTTCCTTTTAGTGCCCCATGGCCTGAATAGCGTCGTGGAGCATTCTTTGCTTACTCTGCTTGGCATGTCTCGAGACTCCTATACTGTAGGTATCCCACAAAGGACAACTGCCCTACCTCCTGTCACATTATCGCTTGCATTTGTACCTTCGGTGAGAAAACAAGTGACCAGGTTCAGCAGTGTTACCAGATAATTGTCAGAACTTTCTGCCATCGTAATAGCAACTACGGTAGGAACTTTCAGAGACGATGCAGAGGCATTTGTGAGATGAGGAGACTACAAAAGCAAAATGGGCGAAATCCTGCGGTAAATGTGAACATACACAAAACGCAAACCCTCATTGTGTTTCACAAGGGAACTTACTGAAAATCGGTGAAGCTGAAAATAAACTGATCAATTACGGACCCAAGGAAGAGCTATGGGGCTACATAAACCAGAAAATCTCCCAACTGCCATGTACTTAACGTCCGCTCCAGCCCGAATTTTTTTCTTGGGACGAGCACTTTCATGTTTGAGACTAATCAAGATGGTGCTCCAAATTCAACACACAATTTCCGAGTCGAAACATAAGGATGATTCGTTACAACTACGGAAGCATCTCGTTTCTAGCTTGATTGACTGGCATAAACGGCAACTCTCGGACTCGAAGATGAGAACTGGCGCAGTCTGTGAGAACATGTATTCCGGGAGATGATCTGGCAATTACGAATTTGAAATGAAAAGAACAAGATGCTCTTGGACTTCTAAGCTACGATTGGCTATGTCTCGTCCTAAATCATTCCCTTCTATCGGCTCAAATCACATTACGATGAAAAACCCTCCTCATCTTGCCAGGAAACTTTTCCTTTGCCCGTATATTTACGTAACGGAGAATCACTTTCATATTCTACTGGACTTTCAATTCTAATTGGAGAGGCTCTGAATGAACCATTTTCCAGTGACCTAAATTTTGCTAGCTTGACTTCGACCTCATGAAAGTGACCACTTAAGAACTTAGCTCGAGTATTAGGTGACATGCCTGTAGCTGGAGCCTCTGAGTCCTGCACAAAGTAGTGAAGCGATTAAACTCTTTCTCTCCTCGGCTAATCGGGCGAAAACCCGACTTAGGGCTTTAAGATGCTGTAGAGTCCAGAAAAGATGAAATCCGAGCCAATGAGCACAAGCACATACGACTGACTTCACGAACACAGCTGGTGAAAAACATAGAAGACAGTTGTAAAATATTTATGAACACCACACTCGGATCATGACAAACGTAGCAATTTGGTCAGATATGCACGAAGCTCTAAGCAATTGAAACTCTCGATGTGTTCTTAAATGGCCCTACGCAACCTTCTTCACGTTCTACAATGACGGCCTCCTAACACATAGCCAGAGTGTGATGATGATAAAATCTGGAGGTATAAGCCTCTTGGCGGATATCTTCAAATTTACTTTCTTTGGAAACCCCAACAAGAATTCGAGACTGCAAATCATTCCTTGTGTATGAATGAGTGAAACCTCTTTGGTGAGCCAAGGGGCATCATTAAAGCTAAACCAGCTTGCAGTTTCCCGCCTTTTGTCTCTTCATACCTTGAGGATAAATATCTTTCAATCTAATCCAATTCGCAAAGTCTCGCCATCCTGTCTATCGTTGATGCATAGTAGAAGGGAATCACGAATAAACTCAGCCCTTTGTTCTATAATAAGGTGAACACAAAACGGCAACACAACAGCTGTTGTCCTCAAGCATCTGTAATCTCAACACCTAACCTTGATCACAGCAGTGGATAATAAGGCCAGCCTGGTTGACACTAGGCAGAAAATTCGATTAGGCAAACAATTCGCTCAAAACTCGAATTGTGAACTCCTATGGTTCAACAATCCAGCTACAGATGAAAAGATTACTGGTCCAGTCAGGCCTTCTACTCTAAATATGAAAGAGCTAGGAGAACAATAGTGCTTCTAGTTACTAACATGGAATGGTCTTTATGCAAAGGAAGAGTAATAATAATCCGACACAGTATCGGGTGGTCGACAAGCATTGCAAAATTGAGCATTCGCTTTGAGAGCTGTGAAAAAAGGAAAGAGGAATGCTGCGATAACACAGACTCGTTGGGCACTAAACATTTGCTAATCGACACCGAAGTCTGTGGCCTTATTTACACTGTTTTGAAAGAGCTCAAGGACAGCACAAAGGGGTTCTTTCATATAGGCATTTTTTGCATCACATCGTCTTCTGCAAAACGTTCTCAAGACACAGGAAGATGCATTAGAGGGCAGTCTTAGTTTGTCGTTTAATTAAATGCGGGTTACAAGGCAATATCTCGAGCACTCAGATGTCCCTCAACGATGCTGTAGCTCGGCTTGGTCGCAAGTGCCCCTTTCTTGTTTACCCCATTAGTTGCTCATATTGATGGGCCACGAATTTTTTTTCCCCGTCCATAACTGTATGCATGCTTCCTAATTCACATGCAGCCACACCTCACGTTGAACTTCTGTTTTGGAATATGCACATCCTTAAGCTCTGTCCATCCTGGTGTTGACCAACATACTGAGAAACACAGAATGCAACCAAACCACTACTTCCATCGAGTTCTGGAGTTCCTCACCATTCTCGTATCCTGTTCCTCCTCACTGTCATCTGATACATCGTCGGAGTCTGCATTGGCAGCAATTCCAATACGCCCATCTTGATCCGGATTTCTCTTGAAAGATCTCAACTTTCGACGCAAAAACCTGTTCCAGACAAACCTGTATGTTATAGAATATGTAACTGTGTGTTTGATTCTGGAGTCCGATCACATGTAACAACGTCCAAAAGCAAAGCGAGCACACAAGTCGTCTGTTGTATCTTGTAGTCCTAACGATGCCCCAGAAGTTTGATTTGCACATGGTCTAACATCCGTATCTTCCGCATCTTCAGGTGGTGTAGTGGACAGTGACGGTAATCCGGAAACTTTCAGAAGGAACGTCTGAGCCACACCTCACTTCAGCGTCCAACCGAAGCCTCTTCTTTCTGGAGTTTTCGATTTCTTCCTCTAGCTTGTGGGTCTCCTGCAAAGATGAGATATTAGCGTCAACAGAAAGGTGGAGTATGGGTGCGGTAAGCATCTTTTTGGTACACATGTTCCGTGGAAGTTGAGAAATGACCACCACAAAAAACGAAACAATCTCTTGCAGTTGAATCATAGTTGATTCACCTTTTCAACCTGAACGTACTGCTCTTCCAACGCCACAAGTTCTAAAGCATGGACATTCGATTTGTTTGAGGCCATCTGTAATAGCCACGCACTCTACGAAATATACTTCAGCTCATGTCACATAAGATTCAGATTTTTCGCTTGAAAAGAAAATTGTTGAAAAATACCTGTTCCAAGACCACAGAGTTATTAATCAGTCGAGTATTGGTTAGATACAAGTAGTGCACATCTTCGTCTAGGCCTGCTCGCATAGGTTGCGAACTCTCGCTTGCTGTAAATCCTGATTTTGTAAGTGCGTTGAGAAGTAAGCAAGAGAAAGACTCTGAGTCGTTTGTAAAACTCACAAATTTCTTGGCAGAATGTACACTGCCCACTGAAGCAAGAGAATCCGTAGCTTCACAGCGTTGCTCCAGCCTTGTGCCGTGACCAACAGAGGCACTGCGAACGGCAGAGGAAACCACGCAAACAGAAACACCCCAGCAGGGTGGCGCTTCCTGCCGAGAGATTGTTCACCGCTGCAAGTCTATGTTTGATGTGCTTTCTCCCGTCGTGATTGAGAAATGAAGGACGGTCGACACATTTACTGATAGCCGTCCAACAACACCACGACTCACAAAAACTTTGTAATCGAGATGCACAAGAGCCATCGAGAAACGAAGTGAAGCACCGAATATTTCAAATGCGCCTCGTCAACCGAGCAACACCCACATGCCGAAGAAGGCCGACGTCGACACAATCTTCGGCTAACCCTGGCAAGAGACGAGACTCCAGTCCCTCGATAATTCCGGAGGCGGACGGGTGGATACGATCGCGTGGACCGATTGGAGAAGAGACGAACGCGCCTGAAGCGAGCGACGGCAACTCGGTCGAGACAGTAACAGGGTTCGGCAAAACTCACCCCAAACACGGACGACAACTCGTCGTGAAGACCCATTGCCTTGTTCTGTCAGAACAAGACGACTTCCTGTGGCGGAAGGGCTGTCGTGGCATGTGTGCACATGCGATGCGATAAGAGCACCATGGGATCCAATTCGTCTTTCAAAGTGGCCAGCTCTTGGTCTGGTTTTGGTTACCGTTCATTATCGCGAGCGTCCTTTCATTGGCCACAAGCCCCGAACTTCAGTCGCTTAAAATAATTTCTTCCCTCTTCACCGATCTGAATGTCGATATTTCCGAATGCCCGAGCACTACATCCGAGAATTTGATTAGTTCTCTGACGGTCGAGTTTCATCATCGACCACATTGCCGTCCCTCTCTATTATTCAACTCCCTTTTATTCCGGAATCTGTTGTGTGGCGGGAGAGGTCTCCGTTCCCGTACTGTACACTTAGAAGGTTCCTGACAATAATTCCTAGAGTGGAACACTCTCGCTGCGACGAAGACTTGTTTGATACTCCCAAACTTTGGCCAGAATTCACAAATACAAATTCCCACACTCAGAATCCCGTCCGATATTCCTTCCGCATTCTTCAAGTTCGGCATCCGCACGGGCCAGGTCTTCTGGTTTATCCAATTTAACCGCTAATCGGAAGATAGAGGTCATTGTCGACAACATCCCCATTCAGAAGCTTATTATCCCTGCTGTGAAAAATCGCTGTTTGCTTCCGCAGACCGCGCATGACGATGTAGACCACAATAATAATTAAAGGCTTGAGGTATAATATAGTACGGATTTGAAGAACTTCACGAGTCGTGACAAGACGAGGATCACAGAAGGAGCTCATATCAAATGAGAACATGTGAATCTCATACGAAGAACCTCGTAGTTCCATCTGTTTTCAAATTCACTGATCTTCATTTTATATTGGGGACGAATATAGTCAATTTGGTGAGTGAGGAACTCGGAGAAGATTACAGAACACAATTTCTCTTCACCTATTCGACGATTTTGACAAGCCATATACAAAAATGGTAAGAGATGCTAGATGTCCTCCATGTATAGTTAACACACATTTCGCAGAGGCTGTAGATAGGAACGATGCGACGATATTGAATTATTTCCCAACCAAACTTAAACATGTCTGGACTCTCAGTGTAACAAGCTCTCCCTACAGGGTGTTCTGAACCTCTCGACCTTCGAACAGTCGTGGAGAAAGGTCGACTTTTCACTTTAAACCTGGACTTGAAACACTACTCAGGGGGAACCAGGACGGAACTTGCACCATGGTTTTAAATAAAGAAGAGATATACCGCAAAAGGGCCGAGAAGGCCTGCACATACACCTTCCAAAGATGTCACGATTCTCAGTCTTCTTCACAAGACTGATTAGACTCATATCCGTTTCGTATGGTAGTGAGAAATATTTCACCTTCTAAAATATTTTATGGCAAAACCCTCACCTACCATCAAGCATCTGCCTCTCCCATGGATCCTTAGCTTGCATATCAGGGAATGAGAGAGACCCGTCTGTGAACACAAATTGGAGAAATACTTCAGTCAATCCGATTGAGTAATGGCAGCAGTTCACAACTGAAAAGTAATGGGTTTCTCCGTTCAAATGTGTGGTATCTACAAAAATCGCAGAATTTGTAAACACATGACTGCATCAACCCTTCAGTATGTGAGAAAATCAATACCTGATAACAAAGTGTTCAAGTGACTGAATATGTGAATATGCATTCGGCAGGACTCCTCTGAGATTTGGAAAATGGGTTGCAATTGTACAGTAAAATAATTCTACAGCCGTGTTGTAGGACGTGAAAGTCCCATTCCGGTGCCACTTCCTACGTGTTTAAATGTAGTAGCTTCAAGATCATCCCCGTGGCCCGAGAAACCTGTGCCTCCCTTCTCCAATGTTACCAGATGCCTGCTCTTACAACTCCGGCTACACACCAGACATACCTTGTCCTTGGATATGAACTGGTCACAACACTTTTTGCAAAAAACATGACCACAGCTGCTTATCACGACCAGTGTAGATGTATTGGTGAATGTTACGGAGCAAGATGGGCAAAGAAATCTATCCCCATCCAGGTCAAGCTCTTTCTTCTCTCTGTGAGGAACGTCAGAGAAATGGACAGAAAAGAGATCCTTGAGTTTTAGCTTCTCTTTTCCTTCGGGGCAACACGTGTCGGTGGAAGGCGCCTGAACCCTCTCTTGTGCTTCAGGAGTAGCTGACGGCAACCAAAATGCCTTCATCGTGCGGAGAGCCTCCTCTTCATACGAAGTCACTTTTACACTGTTAGCACCATGAAACCCGCTCCCGGATCGATCGGAGGCATTGCTTCGATCATCCACGTTGGGTACAGCACTATTATTTTGCCTGTCAAAAGTATCCAACTCTGCTTCCCTGAGCAAGTTCTTCTTCTCTAGTTCGTCCTCTTTGTCTTGCTTCTGTTGTGCCATGTAGACGGCCAGTTTCCTACAAAAGAACGGTACGTTCGTTAAGCGATAATCTATCTTCTATGGCACATTCGCGTCTGAGGACGCGCATGCGCCAACAGGGTTTACTGATGTTCAGAAAGTATGAATGAAATTCTCTAAACAGCACATAAAGTCCAACTTTCAAAGATCTCCTCGCCACAGTCACGGCAGTCGAAAAACGAACCAGCAGTTTCCATGTTTCTACAAAGATTCGACAAAATAATACATAGAAGGAGTTCGACAAAATAATACATAGATGCCAAACAGACTTCGAAAAAATAATTGTTGCTTCAAAACCCTCACTTCAAACGACTTATTAAATTTATTTGTGGTCACTACTTAAAACTACTGAAAACCTGCGGAACAGGCTACAATTAAAAGTAGTACACGAAAACTAGACTGCAGACAACCGCGGCCATTTGAAATTCCACCTCGTGATGATCAAACTTTTCGATATTCGACCTTTCTTCTCGACCAAACAAATTAAAACATCGTCAAAACCGAAGGTTGGAAAAAAAATATAAGACAGAAAACCCACGGGCATGAACAGGGGAGCAAGCCATACCTCTTGATATCTTTCTTCTGTGCAAGAAGACACTCGAAGATGCATTCTTTGCAAAATAGGTGACCTTTATTACAGCACAGAGGATCGATCAGAGGCTTGAGGCAAATACAGCAGGCGTCGAAAGGCTTGATGGAATCCCTGCCGAGGCGTTCCTTTTGAGTGCCATATCCAAGTTTCCTCCTCTCATCGTAGGTGAAAAAAGCGAGATCATTGTTATTCTTGGAGTGACGCTGCGGCATGCTGGCACCCTAACGACGATTCTATCCGCTCACCGTCGTTGATAGCACTGCAGCTCCTTCCTTCACGATCTGCGAACCTCTGCCAGAATTCTTCGTGCCCGTTGTCCTTCCTCGCTCCCTCCCGTTACGTACAGAGTTCTCGGATTCCCTCTTCGGCTCTCAAAGAAAGGGTTCGAGCAAGTCCTACGGTCGCGCGCTGCAACGTCTACGCTCGTTTCTACAACCGCGCCAGCCCGAAGGTCAGCACACACAGTTTAGCGCCTGTTACGTGGAATTCCCGCCGGAAGGTATCGGAGTACCATGGATCCGATTCGGGATTGAAGCTGCATGTATCCATAAAGTAAAACTTAAATGTTACAAACATTTACATGCTGCTTTCAGATATAGAACTGATGTAGAGACAGAAATAGCTGATGCTTTAAGCAATAATGATTAGATTGCTCGGTGAAAAACCCCATATTATACTATCTATTGGATTGGAACAATCTCAAGTGATTATTCCAATAAAAAACTACGACAATGTGCTCTAGTAACAGTAAAGAATATAACAGTATTCAAGGAAGTAAATCTCGCATTAAGTTGTGTAGGTTCAATCTATAGTAAAAACGATCATGCTTATTTCAGTAAAGAATAACATGGATACGAGAAACTATAAAAACCATTATTTGTTTCTCGGTTAGTTGTTCATAGCCGATTTCACCTAGATTCATGAGTTACATTAGATGTAATATCAGATATTTCTAATCGTGATCTACATGTTGTGTTCTAAACTTCTTCCTTGCATCTTCTTGTTGTTTTATTGTGTAGAAGCTCCAACACATATCATATGAGTCAACCTAATCACTAATATTATGATAATCTATTCTGAAATACATCTCGCTTTATATACACGGATTGGAATTCTTTAAGTTACTCTTAACATTGTCTTTCAATTTATTGGCTTTAGTACTTGGAATTAATTTAATTTCTTAATCTTATCAACTCTCCCTAAATATGATAAAGATAATGTGAATAGTCAAGCTTCACAACACTATGTGACTTTAGTCTACAATATGAAACTATATTGCTTTAGGAAGAAGATGTGTTGTAGTATTAGGTTTGTAATATACACACAAATACAAGTAGTTGGTGACATTAGTCCAATGATACTTTCATTATAGCGTTTGCCATATGACATATAAGAATTGTTAAGGCCAATAACATATATAATAAATGCATGTAGTTTTTTTCTTTGTTCATTTAATGGAGCAATCTTTTTGTTTCATTCAATGAGCAATACTTTTGTTCACCCAATACTAAATGTGAATGCATATGTTCATTTTTTATATGAATTGTTTTTTTTTGTAATGATTTTTTTTGAAAGATTATGACATCATCACAACATTGTTGATTACATTAACAATCTGTTTGTTGAGATCATTAAGTATTATTTGTAAGCCTGTTAAAAGAAAAAGAAGGTAGAGTTTCATCAAACTTTTGTAGATTCAATGTAATGAAGAAACTTTTAAAATTTATTATATTTCTTTAGTATCAAATTGATAAATCATTTGTTGTAGTAGATGTGAATACTTTTTTCTACTTGTACTTTTGAATGAAGACTTTGTGATTTTAACCAAAAAATATTTTGTTGCACAAATAACTATTTTGTGCAACAAGTAACTATTGATGTATTCTTTTTCATTTCTAACGTCATACATGCAATACATATAGGCTTTGACTGTGTGTCGTAGCTAACTAGTAGGGATCTAGCGGAAAATTTACTAATCTTGATTGTTGGTATGATGGAAGTTTCACATAAAAAACTCTTAGATGTTTGAGCTTAGAATGAGGCATGATCAGACATGATAGTATTAAACAATCATATACCAAGAAATCAATATAGCTCACAGGATAGAGTACACAATAAGACATTACCTGGATTATCTAAAGTAGGCATGATTTAAATTAATGTGAGTGGAATTTTGGAACTTAAATTAATGTGGATTTGGCTTGTAATGAGATGAGTCATCTAGTCAAACCTTTCAGAAGTGTAACAAATGTCGCTATAATGTATAGAATTCAAAGTCATTATCTTTCAACTCATATATACAACAATTCTCACCGATATTATTCATCGAGTCTCATTAATTTCTTTTTGAAATAAAGTTAAATCATGTTCTTGCAATTCTTGCTCTGTTTACTTCAACAAACTGAAATGAGACAAATTTTTTATCTGAGTTTTTCATCATCCACTTCACATTTAATCTTGGTTCAATCACTTTACATTTCAACAACTAGTTTATTCCTGTCACTTCACTCCCTCCAAGGTCTAAAGTTTGTCGTTCAGCTTTTGATTTCTAACACTTTTTCAATTCATATTTCTTGTTTTAAATACGGCTTGATGGAAAAGAATATTTTCTACTCCATATCCATCAAAATCAAAAGATGTTGATATTTGAAATTCTTTTGTTAACAATTAGTCTAGATTATTAACAAACACACTTGTGATTATTTATAGAGACATTCAGTTATTTAACATAGAAGTCAAAGCTTGTGAACATTTGAAACACAATCATATTTTTGCACTTGATGACTCAATTTTGATGTGAATTGTACGCGCAAGTTAAAGCATGATGGATATTTGATTGTAAGCCAAAAGCATGATAAATCTTGGGAAGATAATTTTCTCTTTATCCGTCGGCAATGTCGCGATCTTGTGATTGTAATTATTCCTCTTCACTATTTTGATATCTTGAAATTGTTACAACATTTTGTATTTTGATTTCAGAACATAAATCCAAATATACTCGATAAAATTATCTTTAAAAACTAATATGTATTGTAATCCTGTTATCAATTCAAAATGACAATCTCGAATGAATCCAAATGCAATTACTATAATGAACGGCTTGTTTAGTATGAGAGTGTTTGGAACATTGTTTAAGTTTTACTTTACTTTTAAACAAATGGTACATAGAAATCTAATGTGACGGATCCAAGATATTTTAACAATCAATTTCTTAGATATCATTAAATGAAATTTAAGGTAGTTGACATGATACATAAGATATGCAAGAGCTTGTTGGGAGAGAATGAAAAAGTTTGAAAATTTGGCTTAAGCACTTGTAGCCATCTTTAGTTAGTTAGAACCAGAATAGAGATTACTCAAAATGTTTATATGATTATTTTAGCATGCACTAATCATAGTTGTCACGTCAACGATTTGCGTGCTTGATAAATAAAGAGTAAGTGTGTTAATTTACATAGTCACATGAACAATTTCTGTTCTTGTTAGATGAGTATTGAATGTATTAATTAGTGTGTTAGTTAGAAGCGCCTTGTCAAAAATCCGTTTGCTTGTAAAGATCATCCACCACATCATCTATACTTGCCACGCTTGCAATAGTACATTCTATACGACTCCCAACAGAGCCTAATAATGGGCTATGCTCGGTTAAGATTATCCGTCATGCCATCCATTCATTGACAGCCCTTGTGATGAGAATCATGGTCTAATCTTTCCATGCTGCCTAGACCAAACTTTATCTTTGTTGATGGATCTTGAATGAAATTTGAGCTAAGGATACCATTTTTGTCACTTTCTAAAGTATCATAGTTGCAATAGTACATTGTATACGACTTCCAACCGAGCTTAACAAGATGTTATGCTCTATTAGGATTATCCGCCACTTCATCCATCCACTGGCAGTCCTTGTGATGAGAATCATGAAATCTATTACTCTCTACTTATCAAGCACGCAAATCGCTGACATGACAACTATGACTAGTGCATGCTAAAGTAATCATATTAACATTTTGAGTAAACTCTACTTTAGTTCTAACTAACTAAAGATGGTTACAAGGGCTTAACCCAAATTTTTGAACTTGTTTATTTTCTCACAAGCTTGAATGAAAATTGAACTAAGGATACCATTCTTGTCCATTTCTGAAGTACCATACTAGCAATAGTACATTGTATCCGACTTCTAACCGAGCCTAACAATGGATTATACTCAGTTAAGATTATCCGCCACGCCATCCATCCACTGGCAGTCCTTATGATGCGAATCATGATCTAATCTATCCATGTTGCCTGGACCCAACTTTATCTTTGTTGATGGATCTTAAATGAAATTTGAGCTAAATATATTATTCTTGCCACTTTCTCAATTACCATACTTGCAATAGTGTATTGTTTATGACTCCAAACCAAACCTAACCCATGCGTTGTTGTATGAACAACATGTCACAAACAATATCTTGGCATCACTATAACAAGATGACTCTCTCGAAATGAAATCCTCAAGCCTCGAGCTTTTGACATAAGCCATCCGATTGGATCAATTCAAATAAATTGAGTTGAAAGTGTCATCTCACGGTGGGTTCCGCACAATTACATGCCACATCTGTTAAAAGCAAGGAAACCAAATTGCAAGCAACAATGAGCACTTAAATGACAAGAAAAGTAGATTCTGGCACGAGCTACTCATAGCTCTTTTCTCTGACACAAATACGCAAAAGCAATTAGGAGTGGGATGGATGATGAGGATAAGATTTTATCTCCTTATACTTATTAGAAAAAGCTATATAAGGAATAGTATAATCATTGTTGGTATCTCTCATCTTCAAAATTTATGTTTACATCTTCGAGTAAACTTATCTTTAAATCTCAATGTTACGATTCTTTTACGTTTCAAATTTTTGTGAAATGGAGAAGTCGTGTTGGAAAAGACGTTGCAATGATGACTAGTGAAAGACCTCCCAACAAGGATAGCTTGTATAGGTTTTTATGTGAATACCGTTCTCCGTGAAGAATCAACCATATTATACATTGTAGATTTTTTCTATCACAAACGTAACAATTCTTTGAGTTAAAATTTTTTTATGATTTAAGCTAATAAGCCGTACAACAAAGAACAGATTACGCTTCGCACAAGCATATAGAAAACATCTAGTATCTTTTATGATTTATTGTAAGAAGCTCTTTTGCATATATAAAAATGACTTGATTTACTACAATTCTAACTGAAATATAGTTAACTTTATTTTCAAAATTAGATGAAGAAAATTGTTTCAAGTTAAGTGTGAGTAGATATTGCTATAAAAAACAAGTACCGCTTATCTTCTACTTGATTTAGAAATACAAAATATATATTATTCACAATATCTATTACACTATAGTCTATAAAAGAAATTGGATCATCGACAATGATCCAACTTCTCTTGTAGATGATAGTGTAACATCACAACATTAGTTTTTTACAAAAACAACCTTGAGACAGTAATCATTCAAAATAACATTTCATGTTGTTTCTTTGAATAGACTTAACTTTTAAAAATGTTGTAGTTAATTTTAAGCAATTTAATTTTTTCTTTTTAATTTTTTTTTAGTGCTGAAGACAATCATACAACTAATGTATTGCATCAACTCACTCATTGTAATTGTACAACTTTGAAATCAAAATAACAAAGTGTAAAGATATGTTTCCATTGTTATATAAAATTTCTTGAAATTGCCAAGCAAAATTACAAAAGTTAACATATTTTTAAGTAGATTGATCTTACATCTAATTGTAAGAATCTTGGTTGATTAATTGTCTCTTGTTGGAGTTATGATAGTTGCAATTATTGATGAATTGTTGATATGAGACGTATTTATTTACATAAATATGAAATTGTTCAATGTTTTGGTTGTGGCGATTGCGGCCGTAATGAAAATTGTCTCAACAATCCTTATGACTGAACTTGCGTTAAATGATGAGAATAAAATTAACTATACAATTTTTGTGATAAGATTTACGCTGGATGATAACAATAAAAGATTTATTAAACACATTGATTTTTTTACATCCAAGCTCATAGGTCATTTTTTCATAAACGAGGATAGTAGAAAACTGAAAAAGTGTATTAGTGTTGTGAATAATACTAGCTTTAATGAAAGAAACAACTTTCAATTAAATCGTGGTCATAGTCATCTAAATAAAATGTATACATTCTAAATCTTTGCATATATTATTGTAGTTTTACAATCGATTAGTGAGTTTTGAATGCACGCATGTGAATTTTAATAGACATAAACTCCTTGATTGAGAGTTTATGTAATTTACGACGCTAGAGTTGACAGCGATTCTCATTGGTTGACGTAAATCGTGTTTCCAAATCTATACACATAAGATCAAACATAGAAAAAATATAATTAACATGATGTTTATGCACATTCATCATAATATAGTAAATAACATCATTGTGTTGTCCATTTGTGAATGATCTTTGATTTTGCTTTGACTTAATTATATTTGTACATGCTCAATTAGTTATTCATTTGATGATCTTAAATACTAATTGTATATTTGATAGAGTAATGATTAGTTCAACTAGCTCAAAATACTTTTTATTTCGTAAGTTATCTCATATTTGCGCAATATAAAAAGTGTAGTTGTCAATATTATTTAACTTCCGTGTTGGATCTATATCCTTCGTTATCCTCGAGAAATCTATGGTTGCGATAGAAGAGAACAAAAAGTAGCTCAAAATATTGAGTTCATTTAAAAAAATCCATGATTATTAGACGGTTAGAGTGAACAAAATTTTAAATATTAAAATCATCAACTTAAAGCATTTGCAATTTTAATTGGAGTATTGAAAGAACACAATTACGCTATTGATATTGTATTGGAAAAGTTTATTTGTAATTATGCACAACTATTTATTTGTAAATATGATTTTGTTGGAAATTGTGATTCGTAATCAATAAGACTTCTTTACTTATAAATATGTTTGTACAAATAATGTACTTAAGTTATAGATTAATTTCTGACTTCTAGCAATAACTTATTGTGAATTAAAACAAGTTGATCTAGTGGATAGCTGGTTGGTTAGTATATTACTTTGGACACTTTATGTATTATGCAGCTTGCATTATGTTTACTTAATATTAGCTCTAGAAAATTATACTCCGAGAAGTTCTGATCTAATTAATTCTAACACAACTACTGAAGATTTAATGTTAGTACTCACATCATAAAATCTTCCTTCTAGAGTATGATGTGATGTATGGGCATATCTAAATTTTCTAGATGGGGACGTAAATTTTGTCAAATGGTTTTCAGCAAGCGTGTGATAAAATCATTACAATTCTCCCTTGCAAATACTTATTCATGATAATAGGGGGGAAAGATTAGGTCCGGGGTACCTTGTGGTGAGTGAGTTGAATTTTGAGTACCACGGAACACTGAACAGAGTATTTATTGCATCTGTTCGTACCAGGTAGATAAGAAGTTCGATTTGTTCGAAGTGTGAGCGTACCGGTTCGCCCCGCTTGGCACCTTAGAGAGCCAGCTTTTCCTTATCTAAGAGAGACTATGAATAAGAGCGCGGAGGCGCGGACAGGGGATAGGACTGGAGATGAAACGAGAGTGATCAGCCACCGGGAACATCGCAGGAACAAGAACTCGAGAACCATCGAACAGAAGCGAGCTCTCGTGTCGGAGGAATGGCGGCCCGGTGGGTGGTGCCATGGGTGTCATCCCGAGCAGCACCGATGGTTTTCTCCTGTGGTGCACGATCGAGTGCTCGACTGCGACAGCAGCATTTTCGAAAGCTGTTTCTCGGGGAAAGTTTTCTGGCGAGGCATGTGATGAGCTTCGGCGGCAGCGGGAGTAAGAAAGGCGACAGGTTGAAAATTGTGGCATCATCGTCCACTTCTTCGCCATCTCTCAAGTCCGCTCTGCCTCTCTCGGACCGTTTAGAGTGGATCAGTAGAAGTCATTTGTGCGGGCAACTCAGTGAAGCCAACGAAGGAGAGCGAGTTCGCCTTTGCGGATGGGTGGCATCGCAGAGGAGTCATGGAAATCTTACATTTGTCAATTTGCGTGACCACACTGGAATTGTCCAGGTACATTTCACATTGTGAGCTCAGAGGTCGATTTTGCTATCTCGTTTCCGTCGTAATTGTGCTGAGTACCAATCCGTACCAATGGAAGTTCAAATTAATTTCGGAATCAGCCGGCTGGCGCAATTAGATCAAAATTTTCTCAATCATCACTGAAGCTTCTGAAAATGAACGTTGAAATCTATACTTTGAGAAGGGACCGAATGATCGACCAACTGTGAAACAAAGATGTTCTATGTATACGTAGGATTTGCCAGAGGTGCATAGGCTCAATAATAATTATATCTACGTTTCAATTTTGAAGTGAATAATTGTGCGTGTTTACACATTCCTGTCATTTTGTGTATATTTACTTTTTACAATAGAGTGAAGAACTTTACTTACAATTTGAACGGGTGAGGACTGCACGATACCACGAGAGGAAAAAATTAGAGTATTAGCCTCCTGAGTCGGAAGTCGTGATATTTGTTTGAATTTGTCGTACGAACACTGAGTTTGCCTTGCTGCAATGACTCTCCACAGGTGGCGACAGATCCAATAAAGTTTTCAGAGGCGCATCTGGCCGCCGAAAGAGTTCGAATTGAGTATGTCGTAGTAATTGAAGGAACAATTAGGTGTCGGCCTAAAGATGTTATCAACAAGAAGATGGCCACTGGGTCGATAGAGGTATGGATGTTCAGTTCACTATAGATAAAAAGCTAGCAGGCATCTGGGTACTACAAGGGATTTTGTACGGTCGATAGTCTTCTGACGTGGAAGTGGACAACCATTACGACCAACAGTACTTTATACGTCCATAGTGACAAGCATTGAACTTGCGCCACGTCTAAGTAATACAATTAGGCCCCCTTCGTTTTGTACTCTTGAAAATTGAATATAGTTCTGCTCGCGAATAAGAAATAGACTTGTAGTAAGTTGTAGAGAAAGGATCGACAATATAATGAAGTCAAACTCTCGCACCATGAAACCTTCTTCTTCAGGTACTAGCAGAGCGTGTACAGCTGCTGAACCCCGTTCGCATGGCCCTTCCGTTTCCGATAACCACGGCTGATAATGAAAAAGTAACGACAAGTGAAGAAGTTCGCTTAAGGTGAGCTAGTTGACTTTCCTGCTGTCCGTATATAAATTTTTTGAAGGTTTTTTCACAAGTTTTCGTATCTTTCTTCAGAAGTTTCAGTTTCATTTTATGTGCTGCTTCATATGAGATCGAATTTGTGAGTCATTTGTGATCGTCGCGGACCTCTGTGTCAGAGGAGAGCTGTTAGTTCTAGCGCTACTTGCCTGCTGCGTCCGCAAGTTAGAAGATGCATAAGGAGATTTGTAGATCCTGGTGTTGATAGGTACCGACATTTGGACTTGCGACGCTCACAGATGAATCACAACTTGAGACTTCGTCACACGATTATAAAACTTATACGAAGATATCTTGAAGACTCTCTCAACTTTGTGGAGGTAACTTACGCTCGTACTTCTGTCTTGCAACGTTCATGTACCCCGTTGAACCTGCTGCACTTGCCTGAGGTTCCTTTTTGAATGCTTCCTAACCGTGCATTACACAATTAAAGTATGGAGCCTAAAAACTCCGATGATTTTTGGCCATAATCAAGTGGGCACTGGTGTAATGTTCAGATCGAAACTCCAATATTAACGAGGTCAACTCCTGAAGGTGCCCGAGATTATCTTGTGCCATCTCGAGTGCAGGTATATGTCCATTCTGACATTCTAATTTAGCTTCCTGACTTCCAAGTTCCACATGTGCTCATCAGAAGTTGTCGTCTCAGTAGGATGAGTAGCAAAATCGTTCAGAAACTTTGCAAGGCGTGTAGGCAGGATCTAATCCAATAACCTCACTAGGGTGTATGCTAGATGTCAATGACGTTCTGTTCCAGATGGGAAGGAAAACTTTATGGATACGCTTGTCCAGGTAACTAATAGAAGTTGATTCTTCATCAGCTGTTGTCCAGTGAAATAGAAATTTCAATTTACTGACTGGAAATTGTGAAGCTTACGTCGATTAAGTTAAGCCGCATGTACTCTGATTGCAGGGTGGACACTTTTATGCCCTTCCTCAAAGTCCGCAGCTTTTCAAACAGATGCTTATGGTTTCAGGGTTTGACAGATACTATCAGGTTGCAAGGTATGAATGTCATCAGATCAATAACACGAACTCTTTTGCACATATAAATATTTCCTGATAACTTGAGTATTAAGACGTGAAGAGGAAGTGAAGACTTCACTTTTGCTTGTCATTACGGAGTTATACACGCTTAGTTGAAGTTAGCTTGTGATCCGAACAAATTTGGCAGGTGTTTTCGCGATGAAGATTTGAGAGCTGATCGGCAGCCAGAATTTACACAGCTTGATATGGAGTTGGCTTTCACGCCCTTGGAGGATATGCTCCATTTGAACGAAGAGCTCATGAGACACGTAAGAGACATGGCCGATGCTTCATCACTCGTTGTGCATTCATGTATACGTTCTTCCCTACGGTATAACCCTACAATTTAGATGCAGTGTCGACTCTATACCGCATGGAATTGCGGCTCCCTAGAAATTATATTTAATACCATATCCAGATCCCACTTATGAAGTTATGATATGAGTTGTCTTTAGTGTGTATATAACTTGTCTTACTCTTGAATTGTTAAAGCACTTCTTTGGAGAATCACCCCTGATCATTTGAAAGCATATGCTCAGGTGTTTCGGGAGACAAGTGGCATTGACTTGCCCAACCCTTTTCCGAGAATTACATACGCTGACGCAATGGCTCGCTTCGGCTCTGATAAACCTGATACTCGCTTCGGCATGGAGCTCACTGAGGTAAGGCCTGAGATTTAACGTCTACCAAGGTTGGAATTGTTTTGAAATATTTTTATTCTTTATGGAATCTTTTTACTCATTCCATGGCAACGCAGATAACCGATTTACTAGCAAAATCAAGTCATCCTGCATTTGTGGAGCCTTTGAAGTCCGGTGCGGTGGTGAAAGTACTTTGTGTACCGGGCGGTTCCTCGAGGATATCTTCAACGCGATTGAAGAAAGGCGATGTCTTCCAAGAAGCTAGGAAAGCTGGACTGAAAAACTTGCCTTTTGTGAAGGTTGTTGAAGGAGGTAAAGTATACGGCGATACTAGCCTTGTTTGTCTGAGTCAAGTCACGACTGTTTTTTCAGTTTTACCTATCACCGTATTTATTTTTCGTGTGTCCTAATATATTCATCCCTTGTCTATCAGGTTCTCTGGATGATTCATCAGCTATCATCCAAAGTTTGGATGTGCTTCAGAGAAAGGACCTGGAAAAGAGACTCGGGGCACAAGCTGGGGACTTAATTTTGTTTGGTGTAGATTCAACTGATACCGTTAGTAGGGCGTTGGGTCGCCTTCGCACGTTTATCGCTGAGGGCTTGGACTTGATCGACAAGGTTTGCTGGCTCAGCTTGCTTTTCGCAATTGAAATTTTTGTAGTTATATACTTATGTCGCATACAGTTAATGGAGTATATTTTTCGAAACCGCTTGTTTCTAGGCTTGGCTCCAAATATAATAGCATGAATTTATGTTTCAACAGATATGCAATCAAACTGTAACCCGATCATAATTGTCCAAACTGGAAAATAATCTAACTGCTATTAACGTTTGTACATCCTGAATGGCCTTATAGTTTTAACTGAAAATCGATTATCATCAGGTGATACTCTTTTTTTGCTGACCTTGCAACGTCTTGGTTTCTTGTTTACAGTCCTCCCATGCGATGTTGTGGATCACTGACTTCCCAATGTTTGAGTATAACGCTGATGAAGACAAACTTGAGGTATGTCATGTCCATAACAGTATATGCCAATCAAAGTTTTACCTGTAGTTCCAGAGTCGTGTGAACTCAATCATTTGAGGTAGGTCATCTTTTGGACATGAGTTAACGATTCCAAGTGAATATATTGGACAGACTTTAGACATGAATGCTCATTATATATTGTTTGTGTAAACAAACCTGATTTTCTACACAGGCTCTCCATCACCCATTCACAGCACCGCATCCAGATGACATGGAAGACTTGAAAACTGCGCGGGCTCTAGCATACGACATGGTGTATAATGGTGTAGAGGTGAGTTCACGGCAATCACGCGTCTGAGGCAGCAGCCTACACCTACACAGTATGCCTAAATTAAGAACGATTGAGCTGGAACCTGCTTTGAACATATTTTTGGGGTGTTTTTAAACTTTCCGAGTATACATCAAAAAATGGTATCTAGTGCATACATTACAATGAAGACTTCAAACTGGGACATCATATGTCTTGCCTGATAAATTGTTCCCTCCTGTTCTATTTCTAATGTGAACCGGGCTTTAAGAAACCTGGAAAATTGATCTTGGCTGACAATATCTCGGAGCGTCTGTGTTTGTTCATCGTCAAAGGATTAAAGATATTGATTGTTTGCAGGTTGGAGGTGGAAGTTTGAGAATGTATCGGCGGGATATTCAAGAGAAGGTGCTCGCCGCTATTGGGTTGACTTCAGAGCAGGTATAACTTATTCTTAATTCTAAGAGAGAGAGTCCAGGTCTTTAATCAGCAGATTTCAACCCATTGTATTTGCCTAGGAGTAAAAACGAAATTAGACGGAGAATGAGTTAATGAAGATGAAGTTGACACGGGAACGTCATGGGAACGACAATTTATCCAGGGATATTCATTTTCCCAATTTGCAGCCGTGTCTTGATCGCTAGTACCGGTCAACAACGCTTCTCTTCAATAATTCCGGTGTAAGCTTTTGTAAGCTTGGACTTGAACATACATGGTTCTTGTAATACTTGGCCTGATTTTTGCCTGTTTTTTCTGACGGTTTTTTCTTCTTCGTTTGACCTACGTAACGGACTTTACAGAATGTTGTATTTGTTACGTCGTTAATTTTTCCAGGAATTGCGACGTAATCGTCTCAGGCTTTCACGAAGCTAGGTGATATGACATTTGTACGTCGTAATTCATAATTTGTCAGCTCATGATTTACACCTTTAAAGTTGCAAATTCACAACATCGACACCCTAGAACTCTCATACACACGTTGTTTTCTCGCCTTATACCTATACAAGGGTATTGGTATACTGTAAACATGCACGTTGACTTTCTTGGATGGTGAAGGTCTCTGGATTCCTGTTTGAGCATCCACAGGATATGTACTTGTACGTCTCTTCCCCGGTACCATATGTACCTCACTCCACTTACTTCAAGTCTACTCTTCTGAATTGTCCGTCCAACTCACTTCTGAATTCCTCAACGACGCTTGTACCGTACGAATTGGGACTGCTACTACTTGGGTTGTCGGTGATGTCATGCTCGAGTAATATGTGATTTGGTGGCATGCTTGAATGATATGGACTGTGAAAGGCTAGGAAAGATGTGCCTTCCATGTTTGCATGGTTGTACGAATCCAGTGGGCCTAGCATCTAATTACCTTGGAGAGGATAGAATAATTCACTTCACTGTCCGTTTCAATTTCAACTGCGAGTGAGAGACTCGAAGAGCAATATTTCGTCGTTGTCCAGTACATGTCGGTGTTTGTTGCTTCTATTGAGAACTTTTTTCCTGTGCAGGCGGAAGAGAAATTTGGATATCTTCTAGAGGCCTTCGATCTTGGAGCTCCTCCTCATGGTACGTTAGTTGCCTAATGTACATTTTCTAAGAAGGTAGTACTATAATCGAGGCATAAGAGCAAGGTTCGTTCATTATATCGTCACAATACATGTATCTCATCCAGTAATTGATGTATGTCTAGTCATGTCGTGTACAATCGGGATGTCCAATGTCTCCGATGTCTAGATCTGAGGGCGTCTTGCTCGGCACCCAACAGTGTCTTGGCTTGGATAGTTTGACACTCTGTTTCCAGAGGTTTCCCTTGCATTGTGAGGGTAGTAAGTAGTGCCCTCACTACTTGCGTGTCGTTATGTCTGTGCGAGTTACCATTCAGGTTCTATACGACTAATTGAACACTTCCAGTACCATGACTTTGAACAAGAGTCGTTTCTAATTATTATTTTACTTTTCACACTCACTTCAAATTTGCATGTGCAAGTGAATCTTATCAAGCGGAGTATTCGTGTTTGTGATGATGTGAGTTTAATAATCACAGCAAAACAGTTGACGAAATCGCTGCTTTTTTGGTTCCCTCCTGAACCATGCTCTCCTGTTTTTTTGTGTTGCAGGAGGCATTGCATATGGACTGGACCGCTTGGTAATGCTTTTGGCTGGTGAGAGTTCGATCAGAGACGTAATAGCATTTCCTAAGACAACTGCAGCACAGTGTGCTCTAACGAATGCTCCAGCTTTGGTAGACGCTCAACAACTGAGTGATCTCTCCCTTTCGATTATAGAAAAGGTTACAGTTGCGTAGAAACACGTAGGAATATTATAGAGTTGACGTGACTTGATCTGAACCCAGTCAGGAGCACCATGAGATGGATATCATTGTAGAAATTGATACGCCATTCGTGCACATGTAGCGAAGTGTTTGCTAATGCTTAAGGGTGTCATTTTTGGCAGTGTTTTTGCCACGTGCTCAATATTTTCCACGTTTTGTGCCGTGGATGGTATTCGCTTATTTCGAGATGAAGTTATTACACGTGCACTTGTCGGTTTCTTGAATTCGAAATGTAGGGTCTTGCTCAGGCGACTTGCATGGCATGGACCTTGTTTAGTCACAATGCGGCTGAACCCTAATGGCGTAGACTTCAACAGCGTCATATATTTCCTGCCAAAGTCTGAGTTGATGTTAAAGTTGATTCTATATTTAATTGTTTGTGAGCCTGTGGAGTTCTGTTTCCACGGGAGCTACGGGTTTAGGCCTCCATCTAAGCTTTAGGTGCTCCCACCTGTTAAGTAATGTGTCATATTCCCCTGCTACAGCACTGAACCAACTGTATGCCTAGTCCCATTGTATCGTCTTGAGACGTGTGGCCAATCGCTTGTCGAACCTTTCAATGGGTTTCCCATGATGATCGCGACTTAAACATGTCTTCCTAATAAGCCGCGAAAGCTCTCTACTTCCCAATGGCAGTATGTGTAGTCCCAGAGTCGAAACTTCTCTTCTCTGACCAGATCTCTCAATAGGTCAACACAAGCCGGGTTCATGCATTTGATTTGTTCTATACATGTACGTCCGCGTAAATCGCCATCGCCTTTCAGAGTAGCAGCATCAATTGACCTGAAAGCCGTACATTGGGTCTACAAATTCTTTAGGCCGATTGTAGTGACGTCACCTAGAGTCTCCGACATGAGTCCGGAAGATGTTTTCTAGGTGAAGCAACCGCGTCAGATTGGTATCGAATTGCGAATCTTCTCTCTCGTCCCCTTGAAGTTCAACTGAGGGACTTCATGCATATGTGAATGAAGTCCCTCAGTTGCAGGGAGCCAAGCAATTGATCATCACATCCATCGGCATATAAGGACTCTTAGTTCTGCATATCTCTCTAAGGTATGACCGCTTCCCAACCATATGACCTGTGTTTCGACCGTCACTTGTAGTTCGGCTGTGGTTTGCAGTTCAAGCAACAAGAAGTGCGCCATTCTGAAGATTGACAGCACATGACGAATCGAAGACTGTTGGACCTCCGAACGCCGGAGACCTCAGGGCGACATAAGTCAAAGCTGACAAGCCTGAAGTCTAGAGGAGATACCCTCGAGATTCATCTAGTGTGTGATGTACATAGGGAAACACGAGCTAAAACATAAACTGGAATGAATTGATTGACTTTTCGATGCCAATGAAGGAACTTATATGCAACGACTACAACTCAAAGTGGAGGCAATGAGCTGTCTCGGTAAGAGGTGTACTGAATCTTGAGGAGACCCAATTGCACCTGCATAAATATAATGACTTGTTTGGAAGCATAGGTATAATTGAGATGCTTGCACGAGATGTGCGGGACAGAATATAACATGTCAGTTTAAGTGACAGCATATCCTCGGAAGACCTAACCAAAAAGATAATCGTCTATATCTTCATTGGCCTTGGCGCTTTCGCATTAGCGTGCAATGTGCTCATAAATCACATCCGAGTGTGGATGTGGAGTCAGTATAGTGTATCCAGGTATTCCGCGAGCTAATCTTGTGGCTCTGTGAAGAGGACACCATGGTAATACGTATTTCGAGTACCGTACGGTAAGTATAGTGGCGTACTCGCGATGACTCGACACAGCCCTCCGCGTTTCAAAGTCCAACCAGGGAAAGAAATAAACAAGTCGAAACCAACCATGGCTTAGTGATCAAGAGACTTCATAGAAATGTAAAATACTGGGATCAAGCCATCCTAATCTGATGGCTCGAGAGCACACAGACTTGTGACAGGGAATCGCATTGTCGTAGACCGTCGTATGCTATTGTGCAAGCGGCCGAGGAGAGGAAATCAAGAAGTAATCAGTCAAGCAAATTGGCGCCGGTGTCACTCACCGCATTCTTTGTCGATAATCTGCGCAGAGGAGAGGGCTACAGAACCCGAAGCCGGATCACATCTCGAATCCAGTGGACAAAGGAGGTGCTCTAGCGAATATTCGCGGCAGCGCTTTGGGCGGCCTCAAAGGTTCCATGACGGAGCGGATGATGACGCTCTGGAAAACAGGGCAGGTGTGGTGTATCGGTATAGGTATCGGAGAAATAGGGCAAGGTCGAAAGAGAAAAGAGAGGCCGCCTGCCTGCCCGGCGGAGAAACTCCACCCACCTCTCCGAAGCATCTCGGGTCGGGTCGGGTCGGGTCGGGCGAGGCCGGCTGCTGCGATGCGCACACGTCGCGCGTCGGGCGAGCTGACGGGCCGTGATCCGCGCATGTCTGCCAGCTAGTTGCCAACCGGCCCGGCCCGTCCCGCTTTCCCAGGAGACCGGCGATTTGGAGATGAGGTGGACGCAAGGACGGGACGGATGGAAGGTAACTCGAGGGAGGGAGAGACTGAATAACTTCGGTCTGACGGCGGGCCGGGCCGGGCAGGGCAGGGCAGGACGAAGACGGAAGAGAAGAGCGAGCAGGCGATAGGGAGACCGGGCCGGGCCGAAGCGGGCTATGGTCGTCGCTCGCTGCTGCTGCTGGAGCTGCTGGTGCTGGCTCGTCGAGGAGAGGGAAGAAAGGAGGAGAGGCGAGGAGGAGTAAAGAGCGCGGGAGAGCGCCTGTGTTGCCGATCTCGCTTCGTCAAGATGTTTGAAACCCTAAGTGTGGGTGGAGAGAGCGAGCGTCGTCGTCCCGAGAGCGAGGCCCCGGGCGGTTTCGGGAGGTGTCCGGCTTGCGTACTTTCGAAAACGTGCTCGAGGTCCGGTGGAGTATGCGAGCATGTTTCCTCGGCGATTGCGATGGTCGATGCGCAGTGATTTCTCCTCGCCGAACTCGAGTTCGCCAGTTGCGGTTCTGAGGGTGGGCATCGCAGGGACGTGAATGTGTTCGGCCTCCATCCGCACCTCGAGGATTTTCCTCTTGTGCCTTTCTGTCGGTGGAATTCCAGTAGCGTTCTAGTGTGTTGGTATTCGCGTCTGAGAGAGTCGTCGTTTTCTTCAATCTATCGTCGTTTCACACGCTTCACCAGAGTGGCCTCGACGTGGAAGCATTCGATTCTCGTCTGGAGCCTACAGGACGTTAGTGAGGAGACGCACGACTCTAGGTCTTTCTGGCCTTTGTGGGGCTCGTCGCTGGTCTCATAGGATGTGTCGCTGCAGGCGCCAACTCGGGACACCTTAGAGGCACCATGTGCACGGAGGCCTGAAGCACATCCACTCCTTCGGGTGGTCATGTTAGAAAGGGTGCTAACGGCGTGCGTTTAATGGGTTTAAGGCTCCCAGAAGGGATGGAGACTTTGGGGGGTCAAAAGAATGGAGGGGCGGACGAAGAGGGTGCCCCAGAGTCATGGGAGATGGCTGATTTGGAGGAAAGCATGAAAAACTTGATGGCTTCTTCCAAATGTTCGTCGGGGTCTAACGGTGACGAGATTGATGCTTTGGAAAATATCGAAGGCGACGTGAGTGCGTCATCTGAGAGTGCGTCCGGAGCTGCCAAGACCGTTGATCAAGTCGATGGCTTCTTGCGAGAAGCTTTGCAAAACCCTCGCGACCGCCTGACAAGTGAGTTCTCAGCCCCCTCCTTACGGACTCATCGTTTCGCGACCACAACTGGGCTTTTCGAGTGTAATTGTGTTTTTTCTCCGACGACCAGTACATTGTAGGCTAGAGTCTTAATTTCGTGGCGAAGCTGTGTTAAACTCAATTTTCACTTCCTGAGATCTGATGGCCGTAATGGTCCTGGAACCGAAGGTTTGTTTTCTGGATGAGACTCTACCGCGGACGCCACTTTGGCAAGTCTTAGAGCTGGACGCTTCTCAAAGGATGATGTCGATAGAGGTGAAGCGATAGTCTGTGGACCCACGGAAGCCTTTTGGTCAAATATTTTGCAATTTGTTAGAAGTACCATCAAAGTCGAGAATCACCTCCGTCAACATCTCCTCTAGCTTTCCGCGACTTAATCGGTATACACAACGCATGTCGACGATTTTGCCCGTCACGAAGGAGAGTCAAGAATCTTGGGACGAGCATTGCCCTCGACGCTTGAATGGATTTTTACGAGGAAATCTCAAGCGACGCAGGATTTATGCATCCGGCCGGAGTGTTAGAATCTGTCGTGGTTAACAGAGTTAGATACTTGGCTATTTTTCCGGTGCGCAATCGGGAACTTTAGACTTGCTTGTGTGGTCACAGTTGAACTTTTTTCCTAGGACTTCAATTAGGTTTTCTTTTCATACTATCGTGACAGTTACGAATTGCCGAATGTCTTCTTCTTTTTGAAGAAGCGTCAGTCATTAGGCAGCAGCGTTTGAACCAAATATCAATCGCGCCCACTTGTAAATTTCTTTTTTCTTCGGTAGTGACGTTCGCCGCGCCTCACGATCTTTGGACCGTGAGTTCATACCGGGTCATCCTTTGGTATCTAGGTTATTTTATCGCTGTAGGGTGAAGTCAAGCTCATGTGCCGTTGTCTTCCCCTTCAACACATACTCATTCAACTTCCTGTCTATGCCAGTTTTGCGGTTGGAGCAAGAGGTGGAGAGATTCATGCGCAACCCCAAACAGCAGCAACTCGAATTCCAGCCCATGCCGTCCTCCTACTTGAGGCTTGCAGCCCACCGTGTTGCGCAACACTACTTTTTGCAGTCCTTGGTGGTCGACAGCGGTTCCACCGAAGGAAGTCGAATTGTCGCTCGTAAGAATGCTGAGAGTCGGTATCCAACCATTCGATTGGCGGACATTCCTGTAGAATCTCCAGAAGAAGAGAAACCGTTGTTAGTAACAATGCCTAAGGTGGCCATCAAGCGAAGACCTTCGAAAGGTGGTCGAGCTAGCGGGGAAGATGGTGCAAATGGATTCGGAAACAGGCTTAACCCTTCAAAGAGCGTGGAAGAACGGAAGGAGGAGTACAACAAAGCGAGGGCAAGAATATTCAGTAACGAGTTGGCCGGAAAATGTGGTGATGTTGATGGTTTGGATGATGTACGTCTTGCCGAATGTTTTAGCAGCGTCGATGAGGTCTTGAAGGTCGAGGAGAAGTACAAAGCGGAGGAGTCACATGACCGGGATAGCCCTGTGAGGATGATTAATGATTACTCTATAAGTGACTCGAGAAGCAGCGTCAATCTTGACAAGGAGAGCTTCAACAGGAACAAGCTGATGAACGGTAGTAACAGCCGCGTAGCCATCTTTCGAGACCGGGAGAAGGATCGCAAGGATCCCGACTACGACCGAAGCTATGACAGGTCGGTCCGCTCAGTCGCTGCACTCCCGTACACCTTTGCCAGTGTAGTGTATACTCGTTACCTGATATATATTTTCTCCGTCTTGTCCATCCATCCCCAGCAAAGTAGTATTGGTGGCCATCCGTACCTGAAGAAGTTATTCTAAAAGAATAATTAGTTTGCGTTGTGCGCCTGACTTTTACACCAACGGAGCGTCACTTTGTGTCATGCTGCAGATATTCTCAGCGGTTCGATCCAGGTTTCGGCATGACTCTGGGTCCTTTCGGAATGCAAGCGATCTACACACCCGTGGTGAATTATAATACCGAATTTCCTCAGTTGGCCGGTCCTCGTCCTCAGCTTCACATGGAGCCTCCACCTCCTCCTCCCATTCCTCAACAGCGAATGCGGCCACCATGGGGCACTCCTGTGCCAGGGAACATGAGCTTCCGGCCCCCTGATCCTCTTCTGGGCCCCTTCACTCAAGGTCATATTGGCCCCCATTCTGGGATGTCAATGTACATGCATGCACCGCAGTATGCTTATCCGGGCCACTCCCTGGCATTTATGCATCCTCATGACCGCTTCCAGCAATCACTTACCCAGGTTGGTCTATATTTTCACTTTCACTGGGCCGCATGATATGGTGTAGAGTCGTAAAGCTCGGAGTCAACCATGGTTTGTTTCAGTCGTTCCCCTCCGTTGAAGCATGATTGATTAGTACTAGCTTCCTGCGATGCTTGGGTCTCTAGCGCATTACTTACTGGTTTTCTGTTTTTCTTGCCAGCCTCATCCACAGCAGCAGCCTGATACATCTTTCAACCACGCCCGGCGCCGTTGAGGACGCGGCCCGGCCTGCCCCTGCCAGCACAGTGCGCACGAAGTCGACATGAGGAATAGGGTACTAGATGTTTATGATACGCGCCAAATGAAGCTCACAAATTCTCTTATATCTTTGTGCTGGCAGGGAGTTTTGCAGGCAGACACTGAGGAGTGTAGGCATTATGATACGAACTGACTGCTCCACTATCCAAAGTTATGTGAACATCGATGTAGGGTTCTTCCTCTCGAGGCCTTCACATTTTACCGCCTGGGACGTAGCAGAGCTTGAGTAACAAGAAGCAATTTGTGTGCTCAATCTGCTTGTCCGCGGAGTGGTTTGGCAGTTCGTTCAGCTTCCTCAGTGAGGTTTTTTTTTGGTAGAAAAGTTGCAGATCTCTATCGCAGAGTAGCAGTAGGACTGCATGTTCAGGGAATGGTACGGTTGTAAGGTGGATGAGTCATCCACAGATCCTCCTGGATCCAGTGGTGTAAATGCAGCTAGCCTTGAATTGGCGCACGTTGCTTCTGCTCTTTAACATACGGGGTGAGTTTATCTCTTTTGTATCCAAAGTAGAGTTTCTTCTTGGATCTTTAGGAACATTGCGGTACTTTTGTTGCTTGTGAACTTCCTTTCCGGCTGATTAAGGTCAAGTATGTTTGTTGTCTCGAGTCGTTTATCAGTTTGCCAAAATGTATATATTTGAGCCACGACGGTCAGGTAGATCAGCCAGCTAATTATTTTAATCCTCGGTCCCAGGTAAATCGACATTCTTATTGATGTGCTAGGCGGATTCCTCGGACGAAAGTGCCAGCGGTCGTGGCCAAGTTTGCGAATCACGTCAAGTGCGTCCCACGGATGACTCCTTCCCTGTAAAGTTATAGATGCTGACCGGTGTACGCGTCGTGCCGCGCAAGAAAGAGTCACAGAAGATTTTCTGCTCTCGAAGTCGGTCATATGTTTGTAGAACCTCCAGGTAACTAGTTCACCAGCACTTATTTATTTGGAGGAGTTTTCAAATAATCTCGTAGATGGTTGTTGAGTTGACAAATTGATGCATGCACCGCGTATTTTGTCTGCCGAAGCAGTTTGTCTTACTGGTCCGTCTTTTTTTTAACGACTTTCAGCTCGGCGCTCCTGTCTTTAATGACGGCGAATTGAGTGCGAGGACGAGGTCCGTTGAAGAGTGGTCAAGAAGTAGTCATTGCCAACAGACGTTAAGAAATCTAGTCTTTTTTTCAGCATAGGTTTCATTTCTCAATCAGATAGTAGATTGTGGGTCTGATGAGGAACTATCAGCAAGTAAGATAGCCGAAGCCTCTGGTCACGCAGATCACAGATCACTCGTTTTTGTAAAGCCACGGGATAAGATCTATGTAACATGCCTATACCAGTGTAGTCCAGCGTAATCATTGTGAGGGTTGGAGTGTTAGTCCTCCTTCGCGAAGTTTGAGTCATTAAGGTGTATTTGTAGGTCTCCAGGCAGCAATTCGCTCTGGCAGGTGATCCAACCACATAATATATTCTGCAGGTCTTTTGGATCGGAAGAATGTGTCATTGCGTAATTTTTTGAATTTTCATTGTTTGTTCTTGCAGATTTCTGCATGTTATTTTGAAAATCCGTGCATGTTATTTTAAAAATTTCTGCATGTTATTTTGAACTTGGTGGAAAGTAGCACCTTATAATTAAACTCCGGATGCGCTTTTATATGTTACCTCATGCTCATGTTTCCAACTAATCTATGTCACGACGTCAACTTAAGAAAGTTATTTAGTTTTTTACACCTTCATAAGTTGTACTTATCTAATTTGGAACCCCTGCGGAACACAAATCACCTGCCGGGACTAACAAGTGGGACCCCCCACTGTCCGGGAGCACACCGTCACCCACGTTCCTGGGTTAGGCACAAACCACTCTATGGATTGGATCCTGTACCTAACAGTAGAACTGAGAACACAACGTCATCCAACCGAGGTCATGAAATTCCAATTCCCCTGTAGCACGCCGTCACCCATGTTCTGGGTTAGGCACAACCCGCTGTAGCACGCGGTCACGGATGTTCCAACACGAGTTCAGGACAACCCAATGTAGCATGCCGTCATAAATAAGCCAATACGAGTTATGCACAACACGAGTTTTGCAACCCGTTAAACCACCATCACCCATGCACCAGTGTATCCAAAACCCATTGTAGGGACTTGAGTGGAAGTGAGAACATAACTGTCCAACGGAGGTACAGAAACGCAACCTCTCCTTAGCGGGTTGGAAAGTTGGAAACAACTAGACTCAAAATCGCCATTTCTTGGAAAGTTAACAATCCGAAAACGAAACACCTTGGAAAACAAAAAACTCCCGCTAGTAAGTCTGCGTACACATTACAATTTCGGTTGCTGTATCGGGCTACCAAATGATAAAGAATGAGGGGAGACAAGCTCACAATCTTGGTAATTGCAATGAATTAAGGTAGTCCAAAGAGCGCTACGTATTTTTTAGTATATCAATGTCAAAATGCCGACAACATTGGTGATTGCAATGATATACTCCAACGATCAGAACTATTATAAGTAACGGGAGAGACAAAGTGCAAACTGAGTTCCAATGTATCAATGTAAAGATGTGAATAATAATTTTATTAACCGGCTGGTTGTTATGAATTGTATTTTGTCAGTACAATCAATTCAAGGTTATCACGAGAACACTTTAGTCTCATGGCGGAAGTACAACTTTCCATCATATACTTTCTCTCCCCAACAAGAGAATTATTTGAGCATTTTCCGCACCTCTTGGTCAGGTTTCATAAGTGTAAGGTTCCCTGTTTTGCCGGCCTCCTTCAAGGCCCTCTTCAGGGCGCACACCTGTAACTTCTCTCCGAGCTTCTTAAGCCCTTTCTCCCACCCATTCGAAAGCTCCAACGCGGCCTTTCGGACGCGGTTGCTTAATACACTTACTTTACTATCACGAATCACTTAGGGTGATTTATAATTTATGTTATCTATGTTCTAATATCAATAGAAGTTGATTTCTAAACTAGATAGTGATGTTTAGAGTGCGGGTAGGATAGTAATGAGTAGGAGCGCAGCTAAACGGAGGCCACGGGTTGTTGCAAAATTTATTTGCTTTGCGCAAATTGTTGAATTCTGCAACGTGTGAGTGTCAACTGAAAACTGAAGAATACGAGGCATATTGAATGAAGAATGACAGTTAAATTGCCTTGGCAAAACTTGTAACCAAGTTGGAACTTCCAAGCGGTCCACATAGTGGCCAACCATAGCCCGATGGGAGTAATCATTCCCCACAATTTAGTAATCAACATACAATTACAAGAACTTGGTGATGGTGTGACGTAGTTAGATTAACATTGGGTAAAATGGTATGTGATGGATCCTTATAAACTATTTGTGTTAGGCAGTGATATCATCAAGTAATTGTTTCCAATGATTGAATTGAAAAATTTTGTTTTAAAACATGGATGGCGATGGACATGACTATGGAAGCTTATCATTGAATAAAATGTCTTATGGGAAAAATCTAGTTAAAGGTTATTTTTTGTTAATACTTCCAATCCATCTCATTAATTTATATATTCATTACACTTAATTAAAGTAAATAGTTACATAAATTGAAGCAAAAAATGTGGTGTTTTTGAACTTCTAAATTTTTTTGAAGTACATTACATATTAGACATTGCCACTCTTGCTGAAATTACTAGATTTTAGTTGAATTTGGTGAAAATTTTTCTATGTTTCAGTGTTCGTCATGAGATTTTGCTTACACCTGAATAATTTTCAATAGTGAACATGTGTTACATTGATCTATAATCTAGATTGTGACTAGATTTTTATTTCTTTATTAATCTATAATTGATGGTTATAGTCTATTGTATAAATTCACTTGTAAAACACTAGTTCATAAAAAATAAATTAATAATATTGAATTTTTTGTGATATAATTCTTATACCTTTTTTGCAATTTTTAAATAAAAAATGAAATAATATTTAATTTTAAATTATTTTTCAAATAAAAAATGGTAGTATTTTGAAACAAAATACAAATAAACCAAGTGATAAATTTTTTGAATTGATTAAAATGTTGTACTATAATATTAATAATGACAAGAAATTCCACATATATAACAAAATTTGTAGTCATATATATTCAAAATTAACATTATATAATATATGAATATTTTTAAAAATTGAATTTAAGTACATAATATACAAAATCATAAAATTTTATTAATTTTTATAAATATAAAAAAACTCAAATGAAGAAGAAAGATTTCACGTTTCAGATTAATGCAAATCAATATAAATATAATTAACATCATAATATTGTTACTTTTCATCTTGTATCTTCATAAAAATATATTACCATATAAAAATGAATAATTAGGTTTTAAACTTTTTTATATTTTGTTTGTTTGTAATTTTGAACTTTGAATTTTTTTTTGTAAAACAATTTATCATTATGATTTTCATCTATCATTGATTGAAATATATATCTTGAATTTTTTCCTCTTAATTATCGAAGTAAAAATTTCCAGTTTATCATATTATTTAGATTTCATTCTGTTGATTTTTATAAGGTTCTTTATTGTTATATTTGTGTAAAACACATTACTTTCAGAAAGATTTTAAAAATAACAACTGTTGTGACAAGATTGACAGCCTTGTCACAACAAATGTCACTCTTGAATCCAGTCAATAAGTTAATATAATTCAATTTATTTGTTCATAAATTATTTTGAAATCTAATATAGTTATGATTTCAAATTATATCATTGAGAGCAAGTTATATTTATGAATTTTTTTTAACACATTTTAAATAATTTATTAATATTTATTAAAATTATTTACAATGTAAAATAGTTAGATAGATAAATTAAAATATTTTTTTAATATAAGTAAAATTATATATATTTCTTTCATCATATGTTTATGTAGATGAATTTTCTAAAATAAGTGGATAGAAGTTTTTTCTGATATTGGAAGTTTCATTTGATTGATATTTATATGAATCATTTCAAAAAAATGGGTATTTTGCTTATTATCATTACCATTTTTTGCATAATTCACATAATTTATGTCCGTAAGGATTACCCTGGAAAATATATAAAATGACAGAATTTGGAGCAATTTTTTTTATGTGGAGTATAAATACTATGGTAATATTAAATTTAAATTAATATAATAAATATTTATTTATTTTATGATTTTTAGTATTCAATATTAAATAATTTTGTATTTTTTTTGAATGACCATATTAATGAATATAATGATAAAAGAATTAAAAATATTCAATTGAGAGTTTTTTAAGATAAAGTAAATTATTTATTTTGATTTTGATATATATTTTTTGAATCATTTTATTCATTTTGATGCTGACATCAAAACAAAAACTGATTAGATGATTTTGCTCATCACATTCACGTTTTTTGATATTCTATTAATATCAGTTTAATATTCTTGTTGTGTGCATCAGAGTAACCTCATCATATAATCACCGTTAACGTATGAATTAATCAATTATTCTTCTGATATTAGCATCAAAATAATAAATAATCATTAGTTTATACATTTGATTAAAAATTTTAGGCTTTTTAATTAAAAATATAGAAATTTATTAGTTAAATAGTGAATCATCAAATTAATCTATAAAATTTGTAAAATAAATATTCTATTTTCTCTTGATTTTGAGATGTAAAATTCAATTAATTTAATAAAATATGATTTCTAATGACAGAAAATATTAAACTAGAGTTGCTCGCTAATTTTTGTTCTAAGTTGATTATCATGGAAGTAAGTCCAAACAATTCACAGGGTAACGTAGAAAGTGCAAAAGAAAGATACAAGAATGGAAAAAAGAGCCTTGGAGGAACTAGTTACTTTGCAGCGGGTTTGCATTTACTGCGTTGGAGATTCAGGACAACACACATCGACCGTACTGTGCAGCTTACTTACAGTGGTGCCGGGTACTGTACCGCAAGGGACCGCTACAGGAAGAGGCAGAATACTTCCTGCAATTCGGAGGAGGACTCAACATTTTCCCACTCGTGCTTGGATAGAACCGCACTTTAACGGATCTAAAGCGAAGACGACTTTCCGTCCCTGGTTGCAGGTCCGGCACGTGTTCAATGGGGACGGAATTACAGCCTTGGCGGCAGAGGTCTGCGCTGAAGCCAGCGGAGAGAAGACCGCCGGGAAACCACCAAGTGGTTCTACAAGAGCTCTTGCTCCCACCGCAAGGCAAGACCTGGAAATGGTTCCAGGCGGAACGGCTAGAAACGGACAAACTACCGTCTCTCCCGAGAGAGAGCGAGAGCCCGGGGACCCGCGAGTACCCTAACCGCGTTCGGTTGTCAGAGTTCAAACTCGAACTTGGGTTAGGGTCTGGCCTTCGCGGGCGAGATGCCGGGGTCGGCGCGCGCCGTCAGATTTTCATCGGACGGGAGCTGGTGAAGGTTTTTTTGACTGGACGATATTGTTTCTTCTGTCCCTCACGAGGTCGGAAATTGATTCCGTGCAAGTCACCGAAAATCGGCCGCTACGGTGGACCCTTGACCCGGCGAGCGGTATCGTCGAGAATCATACGCACCGGCTTCCAGGGTCACGCGGCAGGCAGGCATCCGGTTCAGTGCAGAAGGCAGGCGAGGCCAGGCCAGGCGAGGTAGGGCAGTTTATCGGCGCAGTTGCTCGAGCAGACGTCGTCGTTCCCCGTACACGTTCCGCCGGCTCACAAGAAAGAAGGACCGTATGCAGCAGCAGAGAGAGGCCGTTCGCCATTGCTGACGTCGGCAAGGCAATCCTCTTTTCTGGAGGGAAGGAGGGAAGTTTGAGCGTGACCGACGCCAGAGCTTCAGTTGACGGAAAAGCCAAATAGAATCCCCGGGCCAGGTCTGTCTGTCTGTCTGTCTGTCTGTACTGTAGCCTCGCATATCGTATTTGATGTGGACGTCGTTCGTAGGGCAGGACGTCGGCCCGGGCAGCTCCCCTCCACCGAGTCCCGCACCGGGCATCTCCGGTCAGGTCAGGTCAGGTCAGGTCAGTGCCTGGGGTATGGTAAGCACATATAACAATAACCATGAGATGCGGCATGATCGATGATGAATTTCCTGCCAGATCTGCCCCCTACGGAGCTAGGCTTCTTCTTCTTCCTCCTCCTCCTCTTCCTCCTGCTCCTGCTCCTCTCGCTCCAAGTCCTGTTTCTGGTCCTCGTCCCGTCCCTTAACGGGCCTGGCCTGTTCGCACTGCCTGCCTGCCTGCCTGCCTTGGGCCGCTCGGCCGCTCGGGCTGTCTGCGATCGCGGGGCCGGAAGGCGCTTTTGTCTCTCCTCTATCTCTTTGTCCTTATCAGTCGTTTTGTTTCGTTGCGAGCACGGCACATCCCTCGCTCGCCATGGGGCAGCGTAGAACCAGCGCCTAGCGAGAGCGCGGGGCAGCAGAGAAAGAGGAGCGTCGGGAGTCGCAAGAGACGACTGCCTGCCTGCCCCCATTCTCCTCCCTCCTCCCTCCCTGCCTCCCTTCCTTCCTTCCTTCCTGCCTTTGCTGCCGCCGCTGCTGTCTTCCTTCTCTATTCCACCAGCGCGCTCGCCCGCTGCGCTTTACGGCGAACGTTGGTAAGCGTTTTGATGAGAGCGACTGGACGTCGTCTGCTGCCGCTGCTCCCTCCTCTTCTTCCCTGACTCGCTTCACTGCCCCCGCTCGCTCGCTCGCTCGCTCGCACGCACGCACGATCCTTCCTTCCTTTCATCATCCGCTGCCCTTCTCCTCCTCCTCTTCCTCCTCCTTTCCCTCCCTCCCTCTCCTCTCCTCTCCTCTCCTCGTCCTGGCCTCCGTCGCGCTTGCATGCCATAGCGCTCGCTCGCTTCGTCGGTCGCTTTCTTTTCTCCCGCGTTTGTGAGGGGAAAGCGACTGCAGAGAGCTGCCTGCGCTCGCTCGCTCTTTTATCGTCTCCCCCCTCTCCCCTCTCCCCTCTCCCCGCCCCCCCCTCACCCTCACCCTCACCCTCGTGCCCCGCCCCTCGCTCGTCGCACCTGCAGACGAGACGCATACTTCAAACGCTGGGCTCGACCTCCTGCTGCTCGTGCTGCTGCTGCTGCTGCTCGTGGTCGTGGTGTCGCTCGGGAGCGCGTGGCGCGGCTCTAGTGTGGCGGGGGTTCCAGTGTCGACGACGGAGGAGGAGGGCCCGACGCGGTAGCCGAAGAGTAGTGAGGACAGATTGCTGGTGGAGGTCGTAGGGTGGCGGAGCTTTGGCCGACATCGTTCTTGTGCGGGGTTTTGCACCGTAGGAAAGAGTTCGGGGGCCGCGAGGGTCGACGCTGCCTGTCGCTCGGGTGCCTGATCTGCGAGTTGTGGTGGCAAAGAAGGGTTCTCGCGAGAAGGGTATTCAAGATGCGCAGTCGCCCGCTGGCTAGCTCTAGTGCGGCGTGGAGTCTTGTTAGCGATTTCTCTTCCCCCTCCTCTTGCAACCTCGTCTCGATTGAATTTGCGGCGCCTATCTTGAAGACTGTGTAGGTCGCACTGTCGTTTAGAGCACCGAGCGCGAGTTCGAAAGGCGGCGGGCTAACTTTCTTTGTAGGTGTGTTTTGAGAGCCCCTCGAGTGCAATGGAGGGAGGGTCGATGTCCACTGACCCTCGCACTGTGGAAGAAGTCTTCAAGGATTTCAAAGGCCGGCGAGCGGGAATGCTCAAAGCCCTGACCTCCGGTGAGTGTTGATGCCCGAGTCAACCTGCCTGGCTGCGTCCGATGCCAATCGCCTTCTCTGCCTGCCTCCTCTCGAGTCTCGTCGGATGTTTTCTTGTCGCCGACTGCAAGCTGCCTCTCGAGGTCGTCTGGCGACCTCGTCGCTTCGCTGATCTGGGTCTCTGCCAATTGACATAGACCGCGGTTCGGTGAAGTTCTTGGTCTCCGGAGTTGTCTGATGCTTTCCTTTCGCGCCTCTGATGCCTCTCTTTGTACCTTCCTCTGCGACGACTTCTCAACTGGGAAGTTTACAGTTCGGCCAGCAGGAATTGGTAGCTCGTCTTCAGTATAGCACAGTTGCTGTTTAAGGTCGTCAGGTCTTAACACGCTCGTCTCCTTTGCCGAGCCGTTTTTGTCAGTTTTCAACTTTGTTTTCAAAATCACCGCGGGAAACTGACGACATGTGTTCTGGTTGCATGTGCAGACGTCGAGGAATTCTTCCTCCAGTGCGATCCAGGTTGGCTTACAGATTTTGGAACTATATTCTTGACGTAATTGCTCTGAGTGTTTTGTTTTGACTAGTCTAAGTGACATGTGACCTGCTCAGTTCTCGTTGAACTCTGGTCGGATATATTGCGCCTTCCGCGACTCGTCGTTGTTGGTGACCGACGGGGTAATGTGATGTTTTTCTGCAGAGAAGGAGAATCTGTGTCTTTATGGCTTTCCTGACGAAGGATGGGAAGTCAATCTTCCTTCAGAGGAAGTACCACCTGAGCTCCCAGAGCCCGCTTTGGGGATCAACTTTGCAAGAGACGGCATGCTGCGGAAAGATTGGTTGTCACTTGTCGCCGTCCACAGCGACGCGTGGCTTCTTGCTGTCTCGTATTTTTATGGCGCTCGACTTGACAAAAATGAGAGGTGAGGGTCGGCGCCTGCTCCCGCGACGACACTTACTTTTAGGGTCTCCTGATCCCTGTTCTTGCTAGTCACTGTCGAATGTCGCCAATCTCCACAGCGATCGCGTTGACAAGTGAACAACTTGCTGGCTTGCTTCTCGATCTTGAGCTTAGAAGGACTGCCTTTTTTTATGTGAGCTGAGTGATAGGCCTTTGATGCCAACCCCGGATTGCACTCGACGATATTATACCGACACCTGCTTACTTATCTTCAAAGCTGTGGTTTTAATCAATTTAATTGTGTTGCCATCGGGAACTCCACCAATGTACGCGTTGGCAGCTTGCATTACAATTCGGAAGACGCAGTTTTACGAGCTGGCCTTGAAATGCATGGCACGGAGGCACTTGCTTTCTCGTTGGGGTTCTCCGCACTTTGAAAAGACACCTCATTTTCTCTTGGACATTTGCATTTTATTCAGAAACTTTCGCGCCGTGCCCTTGCACTCAGTGACATTTCCAGCCGCATTGCCGCCGCTCGAAATCGTTTTACCCCCACATGTCACAACTGACTGAATTTTTTATTAACGTTCTTCATGGAATCGTTTAATGTCTTGGGGTTTGAATCGTCTTTCCCTGTTTTGCTGAAGTCAGTTTTCAGCTCGTCATGAACTGCACTTTAGTTAAATTGGTGTTGGTCGTGAATCCCAAGATTTTCATCGTCAAACTCCTCTGTTCCGTCTGTAGTCAGAGAATTCTCTTCCGTACAGGTGCATGAAGAGGATGTCGAGTTTTATTGTTCATACATGTTGCGTGGTCTGACTTAGATGTTAACTTTTTCTCGTGTATTTTGCAGAAAACGGTTATTCAACATGATAAACGAGCTGCCCACTGTTTTTGATGTGGTCACTGGGAAGAAGCCCGTGAAGGAGAAAACTAGTGTGAACAACACTGGTGGTGGAAACAAGGCCAAGTCCACTGGTTCGAAAGTGGTAGGTCGCTCATTGTCTTAAGAGATGAGTCTCACCAGCTTGACGCCATTGGTGACAAGACTCTAATTGGGTCAAATGTGGTGGTGAATCCGTCGTTCAATCAGTACATATTGGAAATTCAGCTTGAAGGGAATATGTTTTCTAGTTTAAATATAATTGAGGGATGGGTAAGGACTACTTGCCCAGTGCTGAGGTTTTGGCACTGTCGGGATTCAAAGGGATCTTCAAAGTTTCCATTGCAATTCCACTGATGTGGAAAAGCGGACGTATTTGTGGACATGCATTAAGACGTTTACGGTTCTGTGGTATGAAATCGTGGAATTCGCTCCGAACGACATATTTCTTACACTATTGCACATCCTACCCGTTTATGGGAGATCGACGTCCACGTGAAGCCGGTTTCGTTGCTCACAGTCGTATCATAGAATTCATTACTTTCAGTTTGAATTCGTCCCATCCAGTCATAGATCTTGCAGTATCTGCTGGAGGAAGACAGGAACCAATTTAATCACGAATGGCTACTCAATCAGTAAGCAGCAGCTATTGAGAGGGACCTTTGACTATTTGGAGGGGATATTAGTTATATATAATTGAAGTATTTGCAGTTTCCCGTTGTGGTTCTGTGAGCACGTTAGAAGGATCTAACTCTGAGCGCTACTTGCTCTCGTGAGGCGCCAGTTGCGATTCACGAGGGCCAGGTCCAAACTAGACCTTGTCGCTTTTTCACCTCAACAGGAAGCACACCATTGTGCGTTTGCGCTTTCCCCACCCTTTTCTCGGGTGAACTGGGTAGCGAGTTGACAAGAAGATAAGTGCGATTCGCCAGGTGGGCCCATCTCGCGTGACACTATCAGCGCTTACGCGGTGCTGTTGAGGAGTCAAAAGAATTTGGCTTCCGTGCTCTCAACCGTGTTTTTCTAACATGCTACGGTCTTTTTCCATGCTCGGCATCTCGGCTCTCTTCTGAGGCCTGCATTTGAATGAAGAGGAAGCATTTTTGTTTACATTGCCGCTTTGCAAGTAGCTTCTCATCTTAGGTGTACGTATTCTCACGTCTAGCTACACGTCAGAAGAGGTCATAGTTCTAGAACCGAAAGGCTATGTCTGCCGTCCTGCTCTTTCCTTGCGCCAGTCATTTATTAGCATCAGTTCATGCATCTAAACATTGCTCAGGTCTCTTTGCTTTATTTTTGGTTATACCAGAAAGTTTGGCAAGTCACTTATGCTGATAGCTACCTGGTCCTTATCCACCAGCTTACCAAACTAGTTGGTTTCACTATTCCGTCTGATTACTCTGCAGGTCGATGTCGATGAGTCTCTTCCTGACTTTTCGTGTTGGCCGATTGCTTTTCCTCCCCTATTATTATGTCCCTAGGTTGTGCTTTCCACTATTTCCTACATCCCCACCATTTTCTCATCCATTGGAGCGATTTCGGTACTTCGAAAGCAGGGCTGTGTTTAGACGACATGATAGATTAAATTAAGGTCCTGGGTCGTTCATCTATTTCACTTGTAAATTTTTATCTGTCGACCTTACCATGCAGTATAGTCGGTATTTAGATTGGGTATCTTATCTTACTCACGAATCTTTTCTCCAAATTTGTATGCTTTAGCACCATCATCAGGTCCGTTTATTGCACATTGTCGTGAACTAAGATTTTTAATCAGTAGATTGCAAAATTGCACCATTCTCGAAAATCCACGTCGTTTCGAGTATTGTTCTGTAAGGCTTTAATCTTGACATCTTGTGTTACGAACGAGTTCAGTTGTCGACAGCTAGCATTTTTAACTGCAGAGTTCCTTGATGTATCTGTACGTTGTTAGAGTCAGCTTTGCCGAGACGCCGTTTCTCCACATACGAATGAGTATTGTATTGTGATTTTTGTTATCTTTTTTCAGGGCTAGACTAATGTTCCTAAATTCTGACCTTTCTATCTGTGGCTTTGTCCTGCACGAGTAGACGACTTCTCATCACGATAACCTGAAGGCAAATATGCATGTACGAACATCTTCTAATGTTTTAAAAAGTTGTGAATGTTGTTGGTACGCTTATAGTGACTATGTTATCAGCTATTTCTCGATCGACTTTTTGAATCAAACAGCTTTGACAGTCCTCCGAAGCTTTTTACAAAGTTGCAGTACAAGTCGTGGAAGTCATCCCACTGTCTTTTCGTTTTTGATGATTCTTTTTGAATGTCACGGTGTGGAAGATTGTCAGCCATTTTTTTTGTTTGGTTTTTGTTATAGTATAAGTGGTATGGGCCTCCTCGCAAGTTGGATGCCTGTCCCTTGGACCTCAGTGAGGTTGCCATCTCCCGTTCCGCATACTTTTATAGCTGTCGAGGTGAATGACGTTATAGATCTATCAAAGTTGACGCTGCGAGAATGGTGTCGCTTATTTTGTTGTCTTCATGTCGCAGCAGCGAGCCGCTGAAGTTCAGGCCAAACCCCAAAAGCCTCCTCCAGCTCCTCCTAAGGACGAAGAAGAAACTTTGGAAGAGGACGATGAGGAGCACGGCGACACGTTCTGTGGAAGCTGTGGAGGAAACTATACCGCCGATGAGTTTTGGATAGGCTGTGATAGCTGTGAAAAGTGGTTCCACGGAAAATGTGTGAAGATAACTCCAGCGAGAGCAGAGCACATTAAACACTACAAGTGTCCGTCGTGCAGCAACAAAAGGGCGCGTACGTAATGTACTGGGCTGCAGTTATTTTGTAGCTTTAGGGGCAAGTGCCTTCCGCAACAGTACCCTTGTAATGACACGCATTGTTCTTGGCCGCTAGCCGTGGGCAGCCCGTGGGGTACAGCATTTTCTACACAAGTTTCTCAATTGATTTTGGAAGGGGGAGGGCTGGTAGCCACTATCATTCGTAGTGTAGGATAGGCAACCTACATGACATCTCCACCGGGATCAGTGGCCCTGAGTCTGTAATCTTTGTTAGTAATCTCAATACTCTTTGTCTTACCGCTCATCTCTGTAAGACTTCTGGTGTGCATGGGCTCTGCACACGTTTTTAAGTTTCAAGAAGTTAACCTAGTTTCGGTCGATCAGGTGGTCTAAACTTGCATCTAAAGTTGTTGGGCTTGGTTCTCCTTCTTTGTTTGCCATGTACTTAAGTTCCCCGAGGCATGCCCGATATTAGCGGAATGATGATTGGCTGAGTCGTGCTGTGCTACATTTGCTGTGCAGCCTCGCAGCTCTCATGACCAACTATGACGGGCTTTCGTGGCTGCCTGCATGATCGTTCAGCCGAGTGGATTTGCATTCTACGCACAAGACCTGGCAACTAGGCTTCAGGAATATATGCAGAAGGTGATACAGATTGTAAATGGATTGGATGGACCATTTATGTGAAGCTCTGTGAATAATTCTTGTAAACTTTGGGCTTGTTAGTATTTCGAAGATCGCTTGCAACTGTCTGTATGCAGCGCATTTATCATGTCTCTTATGGCTTCACGAGCACTTGACCTTGGGGTGGTAGTCTCTCCGAATTCTGGAATTTATCTTGGCTGGTTTTGGTGCTGACCTGTTTACATGTATCTGTAAATGCTTTGGTTTTGCAACCTCCAGGATTTTTCTGATGTATTTCGTGTATGTTGTCTTCATGTACCGCGCACGAGTTATTTGAACGTGGTGAGCAGTATATGTGTCATGGGTCGTACCGAAGATGTGTATGTCTTTAGTTGAACATTCACGTCATTGAGCTAGGTCGTCCCAATGGCTTGGGTGACTTAAAGTTTGTTAGATATGAAAACATCTATACATACTTTTTTTGTTCCTGAGCTTGGATAGCGTTTTTGAGAGTAGAACGTGTTATGCCAAGGTAGTGAAAATAAACAGATTTAAATCCTTAAGATCAGTCGAGGCAGTATCCGCGTCGCAGACATAACTGCGGCATGAACATGTTGCAGATAGGATTTCAAAGTTGAGTAGTCTGCCTGAGGGCTCCTCATCATGGGTTCTTTCACGAATGGAAGAGCCACTTTGTCTAATTTGACGGGTGTGCTGCCTGACCCACCCTTCAAAAAACACATCTTAAATTTAGCTTATCGACCTGCTTAACCCCAGAACTACAAAGAAAAGTGTCGAGGATTCAGAGCTGCGTCTGCGTGTGACATTTCTGCTATAGAGCATATGTGATTAGGCATTGCACCGGATGTGCTTGTATGATTGCGACGCATGGCTGTTAAGTGCGCATCACACTGGCACGCTTTACTCATGCGTAGAGTAGAGAAAAATATCGTTCATCCGAGTATATTTGTGTCTAGCGTTAGCGTTGTTTCATCTATAATCTCACATTCACACGAGAGGTAAAATGACGTTTGAGTGCCCGTGTGCGTGTTTCATGAAGCGAACTAGGACACAATCTCTTTCTGTAGGCCTGCAATGCAAGATAAGTAGCTGTTGTCAAATCAGATGGTTCACAGCGTTTCTACTCGGAGATTGCAAGGTGGACGGAATAGAATACCTCAAGTTGTCACGGCCATCGAGTCCATCCGATGTTTGGAGCTAGTACTTCGTGGAAGTAGTTACCTTCGTTAGTAAGTAATCGAGGCAGTGTGGGTAGATGATACGCTCAAATTTGGAACGTAATTCAGTCCAATTTTGGAAAGATTGTTGGAACTCTAGAACATATGTCTTATCCTTTGCGTCGTTTAACATTACATGCTTTGTGATAGTAGTGGGGCCTAGCCTGTTACTTTATTCTTCGTACGGTTTGATAGGATCTGCCCGTCCTCTTGGCTATCTACTTTGCCCGGGTTTCATCTTTGATATCACGTCAATCAGAACACGTATCGACTGGTCTAGGAGAGTTTATTCTTTCCTAAACATTCAGATTATATGGGCATGAAATAAAATGTCTTGAACGATGGGAGGACATAACTGAGAAAGAAATAACGTTCCTAAACGAAGAGTAGATGAAAGTCCGTATCTCATCCCAGGATACGATTATTTAAAGCAATTGTGGTCACGGCATGTTGGTTTTTTTATTAAACTCTTCGGATGAACTCACTTCGTCCGCAGCCCGGATGGTTCGTCAATTCCGAACGAGCAAGTGTCAGTTTTTAATATTTGAAAATCCTCAAACCTAAATTTTTTATGGTCTCTATTGGTGGTGAGCGAAAAGGACAAGAAAAAATCCCCTGTAAGAAGTCTGCAGAGATAGTATCCTTTACTGAAGTTAATTCCCGAATGAAATTAGTTCGTACATTGTTCCTAAAAATCTGTATTAAGAACCATTTTGAAGCTGCACTTGGCCTAAACCGTTATTGGATTATCCATAATGACATATAATGATGCACAGTGTGCAATTGTACGGCATCAGATAAAACTGATTGTAATTAATTATGTCAAAGTCATAAATCAATTATTGACTTTGACATTGTGATCGGGCGTATAAACCGTTTATCAAGGATGGGAGTTAGAGTTACCGAAAATCGTTCGGGTTACAAATCATTCAAGAGCGGTTTCTTTTTTCCAGTAATGTAAATTTTTTCATAATCGGGTGAACGATTTAGTAGTTAGGGTTATCCTAAACTGTTCTGGAAACCGTCATTGTTATATGAGTCACTAAATATAGTGTGATGAACACTTCGTTCTCAGACGGGTCGAAAAGAAGCAAACTAACTGAAGTTTCATGAAAAAAGTTGAAATCGAAAGTGTTCCTATTTTCTTGGACTAAATTCAAGAATGGATTCTTAAATATTGATTTCAATTATTTGACTTAGGAACCAGCGGAAAATATTTGTATTAGAATGACCGAATTCATTTCCACCTTATATGAGTCCAGTAGCCTCTTATTTAGTAGGAAAGTGTAGCCCGGCCTATACTTTCCTATTAACAAGCTTTGTTTCTTTCAGTCATACCCACCTTGGTGGATTTTCAGATGATAGGTCACAAAAAATACAAAGTGCTTCTATTTGATTGGAAAATATTAAAGAATGGATTTTTGAAATATTGTATTAATAGCTTGACTTTTCATCAATTGTAAGTTAGAATGAAACTTAGAATTTTAGAATTTTTTAGAATTTTTTTAGAATTTTTTCACTTATATTCCATGAAACTTCACACCATTAACATTTTAAAAAATAAGATTTCTTAGATGAAGGATCCAATTGAATATTATTAGACTCATATAAATTTAAAAAAACCAATTTTTATTGATAAAATATAATTTGCTATATTTTTGTGATTCAATAGACTCATATAAATAAAAAAAATCGAATTTTTATGATAACATATAATTTTCTATATTTTGGTGATACAATTCGGACTATGTCAATAACTTGATTGAATTAGAGGAGAAAATTATACGAAATATTTTATAATATCAACAGCTTCAATCAAAATTTGTATGATAAATTGGATTGGCTCATTGCACTAGGCACTTTTTTCAACACTATTTGATATTTCTTATTAAGAACAACATTCTGTTATAAAATCTAAACCGTGATGAGGTAATAAGTGTTCATTACTCTTTGTAATGAATTCTAAACTTTTCAATATTACATTTCTGTCATTATTTTTACGTAACTATGTCATCTTGTGACCAATATGAGTCCTAACTTGGCAATCCAACTTTAAAAAGTTATAAAAACCTAAAATTTTAACTTTTTGAAAAACTCCAGATTATTAGACTTACACAACTATCTCTTCATATCTTCTTCTAGTTGGTGTGAAAAATCCTTTCAAATTACTCATTTGCTTCAATTCAATGATGTGTAGAAAAGTTAAATGTTGATATCTTGTTTAAAATAAACAATGATATTCATTTAAGAACTTCATCGATAACGTGTAGGTCTCTAAAGGATGACATTGAGATCATTGATATCAATCATTTGCGTTGATACTAACGTCAACGTTGCGTTGATTCTAAAACCTTAGTATATTTTCATCTTTCTTAAGTAACAATTTAGTCACAGGTATGTATTTTCAATATTATTTTCCACTTCTATGGCATGTTGATTATTTCCGGGAAAGCAATGACAAATATCTCGTGTGTAATTAAGTGTTTAACGAGTTGAATAAAAAATTTCATAATTTGAAATTTTTTATTCCACTTTATTTTATTCTTAACTATAACACCACACGTAGCACAATGTGAAATAATATTTATTTCCCAAGAAAAGAAAACGGAGTATCATGGAAATTAAAATCGATGGAGGCTGGAACAAACCAAGATGAGAACAAGGATAAGTAATTATATTTAGTGGTGAGGTATAATTCAAACAGCAACTACTATAGTTCAACTATTAAAAGCAAACGATCTACAATCAATAATATTCTCCGATTCTGCATCACGTATAGTGATTTCACACTTATGAATAGTGTTGAAATAAAGAGAAGTAGAAATACAACCTCACGCGTGCCTGCATATGTTCCTCAAGAGACCTATAGATTAAGATTAGATGCTTCTAAAACAATCCTGCTTTGTAGTTGTGGCCTCGTCGCGCTAGTGATATTCAACCTAGTTGGGAGGTGATTTTCTACTGTGCACTACAAAACACATCAAGTCATCATCTATAGATGGGAACATTTACACGTCAACGGTTTTACAACTGGGTAAAATTGAGACCGAAGGACAACGGTCCAATATCGGCGGTACAGTGTTATTGTACAAGGATATCTTTTATCAAAACCTTTACTACGGGTTATGGTAGGGAACCTTGAGTTTAATCGACAGGATCGCCAACACTCATGTTATCTTTCCCTTCATAATCAATTTGGCTTGACTTCTTATTCTTGGCCCTTCGCCTTGTACTTTGTTTATGATGTTGTTTTGTCAACGTTTCTATTATATATGCGACAGCTTTTCCTTTTATTGTCCTTCTACAACTGAGCAATTACAGCCACCAATCCACCTCTCCGCCATGGCGTTCAATGACCTCACTTCTGTAATTTCTCAGCTGAGCGATGCAAGCAACTTCAACATTTTTCTGAATCTGGTGACCGGCGAAAACATAGATTACAGATCGTTTTTCGTTCAAACGAGTTACTTCATAAGACTTACACAATAGTCAAATACATAAACGTTATAACACACAATAACACCACTGCCAGAAACTTTTCGCCTGAACACTACCTAAACGAGCGTCCTGAACCTAGGTTCAGGACGCTCGTTTAGGTAAGTGTTCAGGCGAAATGTGATCACAAGCTCATTCAAGTGGAAGGATGGAATATATTGGTCATGGTGTTCGCACCTGAAGAAAACATACTCCGAACCTATATCACATATTAGGAAGATACTCATGTATCTTCGCATGGTTCTAACAGATTCTCTAACAAGACCAGTTTCAAAACACTGGATATTGTTATTGACATCAAGTTGAGATTTGAGCACTCGACGCAGTATCACAAAAAATGGATGAACTGATCGAGTGGTTCTTTCCCAACATCGATCTACACTCAACGTTGTTTCACGGAACAGAAGTGCTAACAGATATGACAGGAATGCTGGATGCTTTTTGGCAGGTGTGATCCATGTGTCTCTTCACTTCTACTTGATACATTTCTAATCTGATATTTAAGATGATCCAACAGGATATCATCACAAAAGAATGGTAACTAGCTCTAGCCAGATGACCTTGCATTTCGGCACCTCACCGTTGATGTTAAGAATTTGCTTGGACTCACTAATGAAACATTTAAAGATGTATTTCTACACTGAGAAGGAATCAATCAGAACAACTTGCAGAGCCGGGGCCTGCTGCAGAACTGTCGTCCATTGATCCTTACAAGGGCTGCAACGCCTGCTGTTACTCCCGCCCAGAGTACAGAAAAAAGAAACTGGTATGCATCTTCGCCCACTGCACAGAATTGTCCCAGCCATTATAGAAGTGAGCAGAAACGCAAGTCAACATGTAAACACAAGTATCACTGAGAGCAGTTTCAGCGTCATCAACTTCAATTCAACTTATGCGGCTCATATGAAACAGGCCACTCATTTGCGTTGAGATGTTGGACGAGTCTTCATAGAAAGTGATCAACTCACCAGCGCAAGCCACACACAACTTATCTCATCGCTCACATCATGTTATATCGCTGGATATCATTTGCGTCTTAGCAACCCTCTACTGTCACGTGAATGATTTTATGAGATTTGACAAAATAGAGTTTAATATTCCTCCTTTCAGTTGTAACCATCAAGGACTTCACAGCTGTCACTAATTGACACGATATACTGCGTGGCGCTGAAGGTAGTTGTGAGTTACATACCTTGACGAAGAGAGAGCGTCGTGAGAGTGGCTCCGGTCACAATCAACGCTGAAGCGAGAGGAAAATACTGTGACAAGACGTCCACACAAAGTGCTGCCATAAGTGACCAGGGCTAAAGTTTGAAACCTCAATGTGTTTACTTGTGCAAACAAAACCCCGACGTAGAACATATCCTAGTTCTTTTCCTTCAATTAGTTCTTGGGCATAAAGATATCTGTAATTTGACATAGTACTCTCGTAGTTTTAGGGCAAACAGATTATGGTCCGTTGACGGGCAGTGAAGTGATATATTGCACGAGAAACTTGCATTCTAATGTTCTAGCTCTCGAAAAGACAAACAAAAGGCGCCCGCTATTTTTCAACAGTGCTGGAACTCAAGAACAATACATGGTGAACTCACCGCAATAGCCTCCAGACCACTCAGCTCGAAAGGAGATGGGTTGCTGCGGCTCACTGTGTAGTGTCCAACAATCAAGTCCATTGCATCCTACAAAATCGACCATGGTGTTAGTTTAGGGTATCATCTAATGCAGAAATGAGAGGAGCATGACTCATCACGCTTCACATAATCGATACAGTACGATGGGTCCTGTAACGTCTCCTGGTTCGATTGACAAGTGCACAATTATTCTCATTGTATTTTCATAAAGGAAGACTGAGTACAAGTTCTCCGTGCGAGCGGTAGGGGGTCTGAAGAAATACATTTCTTTTCTTCTCTCAGTAAAGAACAGAGCCGCACATGGCGAACGAGTTTAGAAGCAGAGTATACGTATTGACGCTACAACCTAAAAAGAGCAGGCAAAATTGTCTGTGTCGTACATACATTCAAGCAACAGAAGTATTCCAAGGCATATCTGAAGTAGATTTAACATATTGACAACTAAATAGAGGGAAATGTTGTCGATGGTTCATTCTTATAGTAATATGGGTGGTTGTCAATCTAAATTGAGTCGGTTAGTAGCAAATTTCGATATTCTCAACGACGAAACATCCGGAATTCTCTTCACACGGACTTACTTGTCTAATTCCATCTGTGAAGTTGTTGTAAAAGTAACGCGCGAGTGCGTTGAATCCATCTTGAATGAGTCCTTGAAAGGTCCGCTTCCCATACCTTCAATTACCAATATTCATGAGATGAGTTGCAGATATGGGTGAGAACCTCATGAACGGAACAAGATGGGAGAAAACCCAACACTCAAAAACATTGGTAAAGCAGTTGATCAGACTCCTGTCTTAATTATATTACAAAAAAGTTGTAACTTAAAATAAACGTTTGCGCATTACGTTTACCTAACAAAGTCTCCTTTAAGGGCCTGTGTGCCAGAGTACTGGATGCTTATGTCGTCGCCATGATTAGCCCACACTGTGTTGTAAAGACAATACAGTCGGATGTCACAGACAGAGAGAGCAAAGAAATGAGAAGTACATCAGCATATCGAAGAGAATAAGACTGTAAATACTCCTGTGGAAGATACGGCAGAAACTTACAAACTTTGTACTTCTCATCAAAGTCAAGGTTCTGACTAATGAGTTCCGTTGGCTTGAAAACACCAATCTGCACAAGCTGGGTTTCTAACGAGATTCGCCCTAGTAGACTCTGCAAACACGATACAGTATTGTCAGGTCAAGCCAGAGAAGCAAGTTTCTACACAACACGTGTAAAAGCAATCGATACTTCATACTGAAAAAATTATGTTGCCGTGAGATAGACTCGAGACCGTGTGACACTCAGAAAGTAGTAGAAAGGAAGTCTACGATACTTGAAATGCACAGTATTGCCGGCTGATGAACCTATTAGTGATTTATAGAAAATTCTAACACATCCACTTTCCCTTGATAAAGACTGCTGTTGAGAGAGAAAGCGTGTTGTACCTGAGTGACATTAGTACGATCCAAGCAGTCAACACAGTTTGTCCGAACGACACCCTTTTGCTCCCCCAGTCTCTTTCCTGAGCTGGATAAGTAGTACCTGCTTGAAAAGTATGACAAAATATGAGATAGACTCGAGAGAAAAGAAACACTAATTGACAAAGACAAAACACAGAGATCCATGTTACCCAGGTGTATCTTCCTCTCAAAGCATCGATTTTCTACCAAAATCAATGCAATAAGGGGGAGATAAACCCCGTGACATTTTCTTCAGGGTCTACAACAACAATGTACATGAGAAAATGGACCACTCACCCTTGCTCTATATGAGAGTCTTTGATTTGATCATAAAGTTGTGACAGGCGTTCAAAATGTATATGCCCACATATCATATGGAAGTCGAAAGGAATATATCTGCCAGCGATCACAACAAAATGTTAGTGGTGGTTCGCTGTAAATGTATTTGGTGTATATGATAATGATTCTATCGAAAAAACAAAACACACCACCGGGAGTCACTACACTCTAGATGAAACCATCTGCAGCAGTCTGCAGCAGACAAAATCGTAAATAAGAAGATCGCAAAATATACTATCATCTCAATCTGTACCTCAGAGTGTCACTACAGATGTTCTGCATAGCCCCACCGAATGCTTCACTCAAAACACCTTCACTCCCATGCTGCGGAACAGGCAAACAAAGTCTCAGCAGATTTAGTCAATGTGGACTCTATCGTGTAGAAGGAAAAGTTTCGTCTTGAAACCTGACTTGTTTATAAACCTGACTTGATAAATTTGTTATCGGATCCAGAAAGTCTGGATCCGAGAGCAAATTAATTAATCAACATGACTGAGTTCAACGATTTGCCAGACTATCCTAAAATGATCATCACATCCATCAGATGTACCTGATTGATCAGATCAAGCGCTATCACAGACCCGTATCTTTGTTGAAGATCACGAAAATGTCTCTCTACGACCTTTGGCTGTAACCAACATAGAAATATTGAAAATAAGAAATGGTTAGCCAAGGTAATTATGCCCGAGAACAAGGTTGCCTGCTGGAGCGATTGGCATTTACACTTCTTCTAAATACAGGTTTAATATTCAATCAGAAGTTCTTTCCACATTTTCACAGAGTTTGGGTTGCCTACTACTACCTCCATCAGACTCACCAGTGGTCAACCAACATCCCACGATTTGAATTAACTTTTACATTGTAAAGTTTAATGCAAGTCTTCAAAGTATCGGATGCTCTCTTAAAAGAAACATCCTTCATAACTGTGGTGAATGGCGTTGGACTACCTTGGCTCTTTACGCTCTCTTCAACTCAATTCCAAGAGTCATAAGAGATGTTCCAACACGAATCATAGAGCACCTGACGAAGCGTACGACGCTATCATCTTTGATAAGGGTAGGAGACCTGCATACATTGTAATTTCAAATGTGCATCGTGAAAAAAACACCCACCGTTTCATCAAGTTGGATTGTTTTGATTTTCGGCTTGTAGGTAAGGTCAACAATCTGCTCCCACAGAATTGGAATGGAGCCTCGGACCTGCACTAAATTTCCAGGATAAGCAAATAAACTTTGCCTTCAATAACTCCCCGCATACAGCTAAATTCATCTTATTACACGACAATATCAAGGAATATACACATACTGTGAAGCGTAAGGTTCAAACAAAGTTGTTTAAAAGTTGCTGCTTGCTGCGGATATTGATTAATGCTCGAAGTACGTGCCTGGACATAAGACGCGGTGTACCCTTCAGCATCCAATACTTGCTCTGTTTCGACAAAGTTGGCCACATGGCCTTCGAGGTCAGCCCCTCTACGCCACATTCGAGTGCCTGGCAATTCATTATTCAGATATTTGCGTTACAAATCCAGTCGTCACAGTGCTACAACTATCATATAACAGGTAAAGACAAAAGTTTTGCCCTTCATAAGGTAAAATCGTAAGAGTACGACAAAGGTGCGAGTTCTAAATTGCTGGAACTTTTGTCAACTCTGATTAGAGTTATCATACGATGTATTGGGGAACAACTATGACAATAGTGCTCATAAACCGGACTACACGATCAGCCACGAGGGATAACACGTGAGAATAGAACCAAACCCGCCCGTCCATTGAGGGCATATCCAAAGGAAGAGTGGAAATTGAAGTGAAAGTTTGAGAATTGAAAGCAGATCGTAATAAGCGGAATTGAACTCAACCGATGTGCAGTCTCTGCCGACTATAGCAATATATTTCACCACTCAAAAACATCATTTGTCGCATGGAACGAGAACACGATGTTCAAAATATGTACGGAGGGTCTAAGCTGAATGTTCATCTCTACTAAATCACTGACACAAGCACTTTTTTCGTAGACTGAGTGAACAATAAAAAGTTTGTCGAAATAAGCTTGTCAAGCTCTCAACTGCCTTTGGCATCAAAATGAAGTTTGGTGCGAACAATTCCGTACCTATACGCCTTATGCATCGCCTTGACAGTAGAACTACAGAAACAGGCTTGTCTCTCACTTCCACGATGAAATGCTGAAAGCGTGAGCCTGTAATTAAGGAAGCTAACGCGAAAGACACTGCTCACATGAAACACGGTTTTGCTATGTATGCAACACATAAAAGGGGTTGCGGAAATCTACGTTCTTGATTGACATCCGGACATCATGAGCAAAAGCGAAGGTGCGCGGCAGCACATATTACAATGCATTTGGTATGTCATGAAATAAGCAATGCAGCGGAGACAAGTGCTTAAAGCAACACGAGAAAGGAGAGAAAAAAGGATATTGCCCTGAATGACAGGTAAAATATATGGCTCCATCTGCACATTTGGATTGTCATCAGCGGCTTCCCTCACATGAGCTAGACACAATCAGAACAATCATGTCTTAAAAGGTTGACCTTAATAGCATAAAAGTAGCCCACCTTATTCTCGATCAGCTCTTCCAATAAATGTTTGTTCCACAAAAATCTTGGATCTGCCTGCTCAATGCATATATTCAAGATCCAATCATCAGCGTTATTGAGATATAATGTGGCTAGTAATTATGCGCAGGCAGAGATACCACTACAACGGATATCTGTACTACAAAACGAGATAACGATAAGGCAACTTCGGAAGTGAGAAAAGAATGCTAGGCTAGAACAGAAGAATATTAGAGACTCTACTTCGAAGATAAATGAAGAGATATATCCGTTGATTTGTTCTCAAGATAAACAGACATGAAACTCGCATACTGAGTACAGAGGGACTAGCATATCTTCCTGTAGAAAATTCCATTCTATGACTGCAAACGACTTTTAGAGAGGTGATTTATGACCAACAACTTGCCTGTTTCCAAAGAGGTTGAGAAACTCGTTGGTCGGCCAAATCATGCGCTCTCTGTGCACTGTAAGGCAATGTGAGTACTCATGACGTCGCTCTTGGACTCACAACGGACTATGTTGTGAAGGAAGATTTAGTCCGAAAAAGCAGTACTTTATAGCCGATATCTTCAACTAAATGCCTTAATACAGCCTTAAGCTCGAGACCCATCCCAGAATACAATTTGTCAAGGTTCGAAATACTTACTTCAAAGTCAGGTCGACTTCATATGAGAAATATAATCCAGGAGTTGCCTCTACAGCCTTCAACAGATGAGCAAAATTGGCCTCATCTCTCTTCTGCGCAGACAAACTTTGACACAATCATTTGGAATGTGGTTGAAATTTCCTAACTTACCCAGCAAAAAAAAATAATCTAATATCCGAAGTCGATTTTGAACTGTGTAGACAAGCTAAATAATCATCCACGGTTCATAAGAAAATCAGTTCGCATATGCCACTAACCTCCTGAGGAGTTTGAAGTTTCAATACAGAGTTGCAACATAGAAATTTCATCGAGGTAATCAAGTAGACAGGAGAACCGCGATAGGCTCCAACACATCGTCGCCCAGTTACTACGAGGGCGTAAGTTCCTACCACAAACAACATAGTCACCAGCATTTGAGCTAGAAGGATAATACCTTAATGGATAATTGCCAACTCTTCGTCATAAAAAAGAATCTAAAATCTGCTCAAGGAGGTTCTTTATCTTGTTAACAAACTTTCAGGAACAGACAGAAATGAGACCTGTCGAGCTTGAACACCTCCAAATAAGAAATCAACCACAACATCCACTAGTACAAGATAATCTAGCCACATTTATTTCAAAATATATAACGTAATTTTTGTGATGTCCAAGACATGCACATGCATGGGACGCCAGGATGCTCAAAAAAGAACACTGAGTAATTTCGGCCGCTCAAGTTTGAAAAATACCTGCCAAAAGCCTAACCACTCCCACCAGACCAAATATGCTGATAGGTCTTGTAGAGTGACCACCAGCAGACGTAGGAAGCTGACCTGTACAAGACCCAACGTCATCAGATACTACACTGAGAAATTAAAAAATTCATATTGATCGTTTCTTTCGAAATGTATTTACTCTGGAAGAAAAAACATGAACGAAACCTTCAGTAAGCACTGTATCTCAGGATGAGAAAGAGCGGTAAATTCAACCTGGAGAACTGGAGAAGAGACTGAGGACTTTTCAATTACGATCAGGAATTGAGTACAAAATACAGGACGAGGCTTAAGGAGATATCATTCAAGTAAATTATCAAAGTCACTCTCGATCCAGAATGCAGAATCAGGGTTGAGTTTGCAGAAGCTTGACTGTGGCTGCCTACTCATAACTTCTCATGGTTTCTACGGACATGCTTCAAGAATACTTCATTTTTCCTTCGGTGATTTAGGTTACGTCCCACAGATAGGTTCCCATATCTTGATCGACAGACATCACCTAAGTGCAAACACACCCCAATATCTGACTTCGTATTCTCAAGAATTTTAAAAAGAGAAAAGAAATTAAGCCTACTATACACACAAGTTTAAAGGCTCACTTGCTTAAGGTTGGATTACTTTCGCTAAGATATGATCTAGCTCTTGAAATTGATCATGACAAAAGTAAACTATCTAAGAACATGATCAATGCGATGGTTTCCTTGAATGCAGAACTACTACATGTGTCTTTGGACTGCGGCCTATGCTAAGGATGAGCTAACGTTGCAAAAAATGTCGAATTCGAGTTTTGCAGATGACTGTTACCTAGCCATTCTAGGTCTCCACTTTCACGATTTATAGACAAGAACCGAGATGTATGCGCATCTGTGGGCTCGAATATAACTTGATCCGGGAGCTCCCAAAGCCTCATACGATCGCATAGTTTTGGGTCACCACCGAAGACCCCCATCTCTCTAACGTGGTTACCCACTTTGTCCGATGAGTGATTCCTGAAACCAACCATACAAAAAGGAAAAAGATTGTCAGGAAACTGGAACAATATATCGCCCACTGCGCGGTCGTACGAACGGGTGGCAAAAGTGGCATCTCATGCTCAAGCTGTGCTTCATGTCCGATAATGGCGTGCAACTCGGTAAATATCACAATCATAATAATGACGTAAAAAAGTCCCAGATGCCGACGATAGGCGAGATCAAAGCGCATGCAAGTGCTTGTTGATGTGATATCATCACATCGTTCTCGCCACGTTAAAGCGGAGCTGCAAGGAGTAGGAAAGGATAAAACAACCATGGTCTTCCTGTGATCACCCCCTGCTCAGATAAGGTCAAACTACTTCCACGTACAGAACAAATTAGCCATCTTGACATTACAGACACCTGCAAGGAAGTTTTCTTTGGATTAATAAGGAAGTTCATAACAACTGGACCACTTGCTAACATTCAAGTGGTAATTTTTGATGTCTTACTCAATTTAGTGAATGCTCATGAAGGTGAATTAAGCGTCGTCATAACAATGCAGTGATTTCTCATCCGGGCCAAACATTTGCATCTAAATACCACAAACACAGAATCTTCGTTCTTTGCAGGTAAACCTGGTACTCCTCCGATTCTCAGTCTCCGAAGTGCGATGCCAATTCATCAACCAAATTATCGATCTAAACCTGCAAGGTGACGCTTCCAGCGTGCCACCTACGGTATTACATGTGAATCACTACTCACAGGCTCCAAGAATGCAGGATTTGAGCGCTTATCCAAAGAGATCCGAATCCAAACCAGCACTGGTCATCTCAACGTTTCAAAACAGCCAGAACAAATCTCAAACACACAACTCCTTTTCTCAGGGAATAGGGAGCATGAGATTTACATTGGAGACGCTGTATATGCAATTGAGGTTCCAACCAGCAGAGAGAAACGCTAAACGTCAATTGACTGCAATTCAGTGCGACGGAGACGACAGAAAGTGAACGATTTGAGATCTGAGCAATCGTTATAAAATATAGTGAAACTGTCCGTAGCGCGACGTACGAGAAAAGACTCGCTCTGCTTTTGCCTACACGGTCAGCTACGGAACGCACGCCGTGCGGGACGTGTGGCCCCTGCCCTGCTTCCCTGCCCTGCTTATTTCACTGTCTGCCCTGCTGCCTGCCTCCCTGTCTGTCTTGTTCTAAATCTCGCTCACTACACGACTCACGGGAGGCATGCAGACTCTATATCCTCCTCCCCTCTCCTGTCCCAACTCTCTCGCTCTCTCTGTCCCTGTCCCTGTCTCAGCTCTCTCTTTCTCCCTCTCTCTCTCTCTCTGGGCGTCCGTCCTTTCCTCCTCCCGTCTGTACGAGGCAAACAGATCCGCCTTCTTCCCGATAAGCGTGCAGCCGCGGCAGCTGCTTGCCAGGCCTACGACGCGAAATTGGACAAAACAACGAGCTTCGTCCCTCCCTCCCTCCCTCCCTCGTGCCTCCCCGCGTCGTCCTGGAACGGAATCGCGAGGGAGAAAAGTGCAAAGAACAGAAATGCAGTGGAAGTGGTGGTGGTTCCAGAAGAGGAAGAAGAAGAAGAAGCAGACGATGCTGGAGCTCCTCTTCTTCTTCCGCTGATCGGCAAACAAATCTGATGTCCTCTCTCGCCCCTCGCTGCCTGCCTTGTATTTCTGCCTTGCCTCTGCGCTTTCCTCCCTCGCCTCGCTCTCGCTAGTTCTCGCGTGAATCTCAGAGAATAGATGTTCGCGGACGGGCAAGGCCGGGCAAGACCACGGGGTCCGCGGGCTCCATGCCAATAGCCTCGGCAGAACGGAACACGTCACTCCGGGCCCACCCGTCCACGTCAGCTGCCCTCTCCATCTCTCCGGGTCCGATGGAGCCTACCACACTCCTCCCACGTCGGCTTTGTCGTCTTGTCCCCGTCATCTGTGCAGGGCCTCCCAGGTTGCGCAGACACGTCAGTCTCTCCACGCAGTCCTCTGACCACCACTTTGCCCAGGCGCTTTCGGAACCCTGGTCGCTGCGGGCTGGGCCTCTTGACCACGTCCTTCCAAATTCTCCTTTCCCGGAAGCGTCTTTCCTTAAAAGTGTTTGTGGTGCATTTCTATGGTCTTGACGCCATTCGCAACATTTCCACGCTTTTTCTTCGTTTTTCTTAGCATCCAGAAGCTTTCATGCTGCACACTTTCTTCTTATCCAGAACCTTTCGCTGTCTGGCCGACACGTGGGGATTCTGCCTACGAACCAATAATACTGTTGACGGATGCTTTCCCCAGTCGTGGACTTCCGCTCGCAGTGCTGAAATTCGGGTTTAATGATTGGTAATGTCCACGCACTTCGAAATGATGTGGAAAAACGTACTCCATGGTAATTACTGCGTTTCAAAATAGGCAGTTTTATACTGATAGGGACTTCGACAGCTAACTTGAGTGCATTATGCACCCGAAAAAGTGATGACTAAAGGAGTGTTTGTAAGCTTTCCTGTCTGAAATGAAGTCAAAGAAATTGTCTTCGATTACACAGCACCGAATTATGGGAAGTCGTTTCTACTTCGTGAACGTGGATCAGACTCTTTGGACGATTGATGTAAACTGTCACGACTTTCGGCGAAAATAAGATTGGGGGATAGCTGCAAGTTACATTAGAGATATCAGAGTTGGGAAAAACTAACGTCAGTTAAGTTGAAGACTTTACATGCGTCGAAAAGCGATCTCCTATCTAAGTTTTTATCTCCTATCATTATGATTCTTGATGTGAAGCTCCACTAAGATGAGTAATCCTACCAATTTCAACTGATCAAAACTCAACTGCGACTCATGTTCCCGGTGGAAATCTCGGAGCCCATATCATTCCATTCCGCTGCCTGTCTCCACCTATTGAAATGCAAAATTTGAAGACATGAAACTATTCCTGAGTGCATGACTATTCTTGCAGCCACATGAAAAGTATTGCAGGAAACGAGCAACTGCGGATATTGCTCTATATCTTGTGATCAACAATTGACACGGAATAGATTATAGCTAAAATTGCTCTACATTCAGGGTCAAAAATTGACACTGAATAAACGAAGAACCTCTTGCACATCTAATGTCTTCGCTACACTTGGGAAGGAACTTGCATGAATGAGAAGAATACGCAATTCGCAAAACTTGATCAATCCTGTGTAAACCTATTGTACGAGAGGAGGGACATTCTGGCACCAATGTGGCGCAGTTTGTTCGAATATATGCCCTAGCCGGAGTAATTCGCCCTGTAGAAACAACCAGCGCAAGAAAAATGTGAGTTACAATGCAAAAGTCTCAATCATAAAATGAAACGGAAGCAAGGATGAGGGTTTCCAAGTAATTACTTATCACTTGGTGACAATCACTTCTCCAAATCTGTATGCTCATCTTACTCCTCATCCGAAAAAATATCATTCGAAGTTGTACAACTCAACAGACAGATAACCGTGGCCCTACGAGTAGGATCCGTCTAGATATTTTTCAATTTCTTGCCCTTACCCTCGGCTGGCATAATATGCAATTCGACCGTTTACAGAAGCAGAATTTGATGGTTCAAGTTAACGACAAATAATATCAATCTGTAATTGTGTCAAGGATCTGCGACTATGTTTAGAGGACTAATTCTGGACTTCTGTATATGGTTTCATTACTTGTACTTTGATCAAGGGTTACTACTGTCAAACCTGGATACGATTGACACGGCAATAATTTGGCCCCTCGACCCTGTCCCGTAGAACACCACAGGAGCAACCACGGACGCGACAAAAAAAAAGACGAATCTGAATTGGGGGACTTGTAACAGTAAGCAACCAACTAATACTAATCCCTTGTTTGCTCAAAGAACATTTTGATGTCCATGAACTCTATAATTAGGTTACTGTACTACCAATTAGAAGTTCTTCACAACAACACCTGAGAAGACAAAAGGAGCAAAATTCTCTTACCTCGTCGAAGGATTTCCCAACCATTTGCAAACCTACTGGAAGGCCACAAGGTCCACCTTCAGCTAGCCCACAAGGCAATACAAGTGCGGGAAGACCCGCCAAGTTTACATTCACCTGATATCACAATTCACCATGGATTTTATCAAAGTCAATATTTAAGTATGACACGGCCAATACTTATGTCTAGTCGTGTTCTTTGTTGCCAGGTTTCGGACAACATTTTGACGAGCAGTCATCATAGGCCATTAAAGCTATTGAAACTATTAACTGAAGGTAACAGGTTGCTGGACTTCGTCACAAGCCAGCAAAATTGTGGATGTAGAAAGACTTCAAAGAGCAAGTGAAAAGCATTGAAATCTAAAAGATTCTTAAAGGTATGCTCATTCGATTGAATTGACAATAGATAGTAAGGTCCTAAAAGTCAAAGTCGACAAAACAGGCACCAATATAATCATGTCGTCATGATTATAAAATTACAATAACATATCTTCCAAAACCCATGACAGAATCATAGTCCGGAAGTCTTCATACCGTCATCAAGTCACCAGCATACATTGACAATGGATCGTCCGTCTTCTCTCCTGCGGAAACCAATAAAAATATCATTGAGAAACTTCCCACCGGTATTCTCGTAGCGGAAAGCTAGTATCAAAGTGTAATTTAGCGGATGCTGATATAAGAACTCGACACGAGGAAAAAAGGAAAAAAAGTTAACAGTCCACAATGCAAAAGTATCTAGAAATAATATACTGCAAGACGAGGAAACGATGTACACAAGGCTGTGTGAGCGTAACACATTCATTTTGTATTTGAATACGATACCCGTAGCAAAGTAGAGCCCTTATTCATTTACAATAGCAACCTTCAACAGGTCCAGTTTTTCAAGTCAAACTCTTTTATTTAGCATCAAGGCGGGCAGATCCACTCCCGTCAGCTTTGACTGACTAACAACAATATCATGAGTTTACATGAACAGAACGATGTGTTGAAAGCATAGAAATGTTGGAAAATGAGAATGGCTAACAGACTTCTTAGAAACCTTAATACATGAGTACATGATGACGAGGTGGGACTTCGGTCAGCTTGCCCAAGACTGCTTAGAATGAGTATTATCAACAAAGTTAGCAGTACAAATAGGATTCCTTCGTTCAGTCATCCGAGGATAACTCATATCTTCCACGTAGTCTGATACTAAGATTACGTCATTATCACTGGCATCGTACCTTCAGAACACTCCCGACATAAAAATTGTTTCTATTCTCAGTACTTGGAATCCTCCAAAACACGTAGAGGTGGATTTGCCAAGGGAATATTATTTGGATACGCTAATCGGGAGCTATTCTCCGAAAAATTACAACCGTCAGGTTTGCATTTAGGGCTCGTTCATATTTCGACCATCCATGTTCCACTTACCAGATTTGAGATAAAATGGACTATCAGCATTTTCATAAAGTAGCAGGAAAGTGAAACAAAACTTTCAAGAATATCGTGAGATTTAGATCGGGTACCACCAAGGGCTTTAAGTCAGCCTCGTCAACATTTACAAATTACTGGCAGAGATTCTCCGATTCCACGAAACTAACCAGTCCCGTCAAAAGCGCCACATCGGCAATTTCAAGAACTCTTATGGTTTCGTCGCTTGCATTCACCTCTAGGACTGTTACTTCCGCGTTTCATGCCTTCCAACTTGTTTTAGTCCTCCCACATGTAGTCATAGTTGCTTTGTGAGTTTTTGACAATGGGCCAGTTCAATCGAAGTTTCTCTCGGAAGTATTCTCATATCCCTTCTAGACTCTCTTGCTTGACTATGTTTGTACATGGTTTTAAATGACGCCTCGTCTTCTCCTTCATCATCCATTTCATTCATCCGAGTGATATAGGTTGGAAAACGGTCTTGCAAAATCCCGTTATCATTTTGTGAAACATGTGTTTCCGGGTCTGACAAGACTGAAACAAGGTACTAATGAGCTACGGCAATCATGCTGTTCATATTCGAAAAAACAAGCTAGACCTTTGATTGCAGTTTCGCGTGGAATTGAATCTACGAAAGAAATAAATCCACAAAGTCTGTGTAAATATTTAAGCATACCTATTTTATAAGCAACCGTTGGTGCCACCGGTGACAAGAGCACATCGACCTTGCTGAGAACAACTTCCAAATCGGTCTGAATTATTCTCCGGACCTGAAGTAGCAAATTTCAAATTAGATCAGAACACAGGTTTTCTCGAGAAAATACAAGAATGTAATCTTTAGACAGCAGAATCTATACGCCTCTACCATGCGAGAGTCTCTTCCAGGCCTTGAGCAGACAACTCCATTACGATATATACAACATGATATGCATACCTGCTGTGCACGTTTGTAAAAGGCGTCGTAATAGCCAGCTGAAAGAGCATATGTACCCATCAGTATACGTCTCTTGACCTGCGGGAAGTAATTTGACATGGTTACACAGGGAAGCGAAGGTCCAAGCAATAGCACTTCTGTATCCTTGAAGGTAGCTAGGACGCCGAGAATATGAACGTGATTATTGGATAAGAGATCTGTAGTACAAGTCCGTATACCTCTGCACCCAGTCCCTGCGCACGAGAATTTCCGTACATCGGTATGAGCTCTTGCGCATCCGCCCGATTGCCGTACCTGCTTTGTCAGAAATGTCCACTTATCTGAGATGACCTTCATGTGAGACTAGAGAAATATGGCTGCCGATCCGGGAATTCCAGCCGGTGGAAAAATAGAAGGTTCGTCAAAAACGTGATGCGACTTTCCTAAGCATAACGCTCCGAATTCCAAGTTGGGTAAGTAGTGGAAAATAAGCGTGTTGTATAGGGTAGGGCATGAAGGGAATGACAAATACAAAACTACGAATTTCTTCGTGCGGTGCTCCAATAGTCCATGATTTCATACTAGCTAATGCCAAGTGACATTGAGATAGCAACGTCAACACAGTCCGCCTGTCATTGTTTGGGCAGTATCACATAAAGAGAAACCAAATAAACGTTCGTGAAAGTATATCAAATCATTCAAATAAAATGTACTTTATGTGAACAACGCATAATCCACCGAATGCTCAAATCAGATTCAAGATTTCCACTTGCCTGGCACCATCATAACGCGAGAGATTCGAGGAAGCTTCTGAAGCTGCTAACACATAGTAAGCTGGCAATCCCAGAGAAAATTTTGGCAACTCAACCTGTACAACAAAGAGTCGAAATGTCAGATTATAAACTGCGCACATTCAGTCAAAGTATGAACTACTACATCATTGAAAAGTCGGAAAATAAAGAGACCTACTTTACGCGAGTAGTTGCCTTCACCAACCAATCTGTACCTTTACCTTACACAATTTTAAACATTTAAAATCCGGAACGAATCAATATGAAATGCAGAAGGGGTGAAAAAGAACCTCAATAACTTCAGCTCCAAGGCTTTCCAGATGCTGTGCAGCAGATCGAATTGCAAAAACAACACTTGAATCCACTCCGTCTTCCAAAGTTTCCTTGATAAGCCCAAACTTCACTCCCGCTAGAGGCTTACTGCTGAAATTCTGGACCGGCTTGAGAGTCTCCACAAAACTGGGCACATCCTATCAAGAAAAAAGTTTAATGTACTGTGTAAAGATTGCAGCTCCAACAAGTTGTGTGAGAATCAAAATGCGGAAAACGTAAGATTAGATTGAGCGCGAAAAAACACCGAGAGGATACCACTAGAGGTTCTTCTCAAATTTCAAAATTTAAGAATCCGACAAAAAAACAAGCTCGTCACGCAGAGGTTGTAAATTGGTGAAGATTCTGAAAGCCCAAGATCGTTCGATATGTCCAAAATATATTTCTCTATGTGCCGTTAAGTCACTACGTCGAGCTGAAGTTATTGGTCTATTACAATTATCTTTTATAATTATCTTCTCTGGAGAGTTAGTCACAGAGGTGGGTTTTGCAGTTTCAAAAACCATCCTACAACTAATCATTGGCGTCATAAAGGACGTCATAAAGAAAAATTAGCAGCTTAACAAAATGTGACTACCTTTGTACTACTTGTGGAGTCTGAATTGTCATGCCCGGCAATTGATTGCAAAAGAATTGCGACATCTTCAACTGAAGAACCGAAACACCCGACCACATCTAAAGATGAAGCGTATGCCATGAGCCCAGAACGTGAGACGCGACCGTAGGTGGGCTTCAATCCAACGACACCACAAAAGGATGCTGGTTGTCTAATACTACCACCAGTGTCACTTCCCAAAGCTCCTACAGAAGATAAACACACAACTCCTGAGTTCAGCACGATCTCTGAATGATGACAAATGTACTTGGGAAATTAAGCTTGCCTCATGATCTCAGATTCCAAGATTGTTTTATGGGCTAAGACCGCTGGAATGTACTCCACAGCAACCAATTCCAGGGACTGAGAATCAAACATTCATGATGATGATGACGAGTGTGATTTCCGTCACTAGAAAACTTACCCCTGACCCAAGCTAGTCAAATTCTAGGATCATTCATGGGTGAAAGTAGCTGGTATCTTCTCCACATCCACAAACAAAATACTTCAAAGACACAACATAATGAATTGAACCAAATGAACATCTCAACTGAGGACCGCGTGGTTCGTTTAGATCAGTGGTACCTAACGCAAAGGAAACGTAACTTCACTTACAAACTTTTCAAGTCATAAAGTATTTGAACCTCACCAGCACATTGTCTAGCAGCCACTGCGGCAGCAGAACCTCCAGAAGATCCACCAGGAACGCGAGATACATCCCAAGGGTTTGCTGTTACCTGATAACCAGATGACATCCCGAGTTTAACGAATGAAAAACAAATATTCACTAAGTGTACAAAATTGCTGTCAAGAGAGTTTCATGGCATTCACAAAATCTCTCTTTTGTGAAGAAAGGAAAAAAAAGGCCAAAATGGAAGAAAAGATAATGTTCCAACTGCTGCACTGTAGATTTGCATTTGTCACTTGTAAAATAAGACAACAGATCTCAAGCTGGAAATAGCTCGAACTCAAACGTACAGCTTCGAGGGCAAGCAAACAGAGATGTAGTTCACTGCACGGAACCTCGTGTTAAGGATGAATTTCACTCTAGAGATGAACCATTAAACAATGCCGTTCTTTATCTCTTAAGTCCTACACCATGGCAACTCCATAACAGTGTTGCATATGAACTCAACCAGAAGATAACGAAGAGATTGGAAATATGATATGATTTGAAACTCAGTTCAGTGTAATAGGTGATTGGATAAGAAAATAATGTTCCAGTAACAGAAGCGAAATCCTTGAGGACAATGAAGAAGAGTAGCTAATACGAAATGATGTTCTATACCGAAAAATACAGAACAATAGAGTACATGTGGATCAAAGTGAGTGAAAGAATCAAATTGATGTTTAAGCAGCCCATCCCTATTAGTACGGGTATGACAGAAAAATCAGTGGGGTGAGAGAAGTACAGATTTAAAATGTTAACCCCAGCTTTGAATAAAACATCCCGCATTGTAGTCATCTCAACTGCTTTCAAGAAGTGAAGAAAGGAACCTTGTATGCCGATCCTTCTGTAGTGCTACCCATGCCGAATTCGTCCATATTAGTCTTACCCACAATGATAGCGCCACCTTCTCGCAACTTCCGCACAGCGGTGGCATCGTAAGGAGGTCGGTAACCCTCAAGAATTTTCGACCCACCTGTGGATGGCATGTCTTTGGTACAAAGATTATCCTTCACTGCAATCGGAACTCCCGCTAAAGGACCAATTGTCGCCTTCTGAGCAATCTTCTCATCCAGCAACTTGGCTTCTTCGAGAGCTTTCTCCGAAATATGTAAGAAACTCTGCACCTGAGGTTCCCTGTCCCTAAGACGTACCAGATAATCCTCCATGACATTGACAGCGCTCCTCTCCCTGTTTTCAAGATCCTCTCTAATTTTCCGAATCACAGAACTAGGCCTCTCCTGAGCCTGCGCATATCCTACTGTCACGGTCCCGGAAGGACAACTCGACGAGCTCCGAACAGCCCATGTCGCTTTCGATGACAATTTGAGCGCCTGCCCTCTCCAATTCACGCCAGAGCCGACCTGATGAGGTAACATGAGCGCAGAAGTCCTGAAAGCCATAGCTGCAGGACCACCAGCTCCGTCCACCTGACGCACACTGCTACCTGATTCAATTCGCCTCAATGCGGTTCACTGCAGTGCTCCGAATTGTCCTTCAGTCGCTCGCACGTTATTCGCGCGCTACGTTGCAAATTTGAGTCTGCGAGCACCAACCTCTCTTCGTCCTCACGAAGTTTGAATCAGGATTTGCTTTCAGGGTTTTGTGAGACACACGTTCGTCTACCCTGTCAACTGTTGTCCGCCATAAAGACACAGCTTTAGCGACTGCGTACTCTGAACATTCGGGAGGAAGTCCGACTGACTGCGGGTTGCTTTTCGGTGTACACCTTCACTGCAACCTATCCCACAAAATCTACTGGAGTAAAATCTACAAGCAATGAACATTCCGAAATTGAATGAGCATTTTAGATGGATACTTGCATTGGATAACGTGAAGATTTATGTATAGAATAACGTAAACCATCACTAAGTGTCAAATCCATAGCACATCAACATCATACAGTTTATCATTGCGAGGATGCAATGCATATTTTATTCTGCAGTTCCAACATAAATCGTCACTAAACCTCAAATTGAAGTCATAACTATAAATTTTTAATGTAACACAGACTACTCATCTCACTCACTCAAAGCTCATTTCAAAATGCCACGACCAAGAAATTATTTACTTCAAAGTGCACTTCCCGTTCTTGTTCAAAAATGACTCAAAATACTAATTACAGTATTTTGAACTTTGCTTTATTTCTTTCTGAAAATATTAAAGTCAACCATGTACACTCAAGCATAGCCACTCTTGTCACTGAATGCTCAGTTCAAAATGCCACGTTCAAGAAATTATTCCTTTCAAAGTGGTCTTCCCGTTCTTGTTCAAAAATGACTCAAAATCTGAATTACATTATTTTGAACTTTGCTATTATTCTTTCTGAAAGTATTAAGGTCGACCATGTAAACTCAAGCATAGCCACTCTTGTCACACTATCATAATGATTGATAATGGGTGAATTCAAAATGCCCTTCCGAATGTTATTGGAGACAATCCCTTCAAGGTGGAAAGTCTTGCTTGTGAAAAGTTATCCATTTCAAAGTGGACTTGAGGAGTATGTGAAAAGTTGAACGACCTCGGGGAGGTCGGGAGGGGTGATGGCGATGGCGAACGGATACGCACGGCCGCCACCACGGCGGCGTGACCAATAATGCTTGTACAATGAGAGATTCCTAGCTAGCAAATTCAGTTAGTAATCGGCATCGATTGGCGAGTCGATTGAGAAGTTCCTCGACCCCATGGGACTTTCCCACGTTGAGAACGCACTTCTTAGGGTATACCATGCAGCCTGTCCGCGCCACTTACAAGTCGGTACTTCACACTAAAGCTCGTGCCTTACCTCCCTCTAACAAGGTTCCTGACATCATGGACTTTTTGATAGCCGCCCTTGCTACTAGCAATTTTGACAAGGGCCATATGGACCTACTCCGGAGGCATGATGGAGAAATTCTCCCACTAGGCACCTTATGCAACTACCAAGGGATTCTCGTCCGCGACGCGGTCTCCTTCATGTTTTTTGTCGCCGACCAAGCCACTATGGTTCTGTGGTAACACACTTTTTGTTTTTTTTGCAGAATTTAAACAATTTTAGAAAACAAGTACCGAAGCAGTGTCTGTAGTTAGAAAATGGTACGTTAAATAGAGTGGATTGAGGAGATCGTCACGAGGTAACGAAGAAGCGCGAAGTTGGACGTACCAGCGCCAAATGTCTTCGGCGCCTTCGGCAAGATCTCCTTTGCTGAGGTGTCTCTACTCACGCGCTTCCAGCGTTTAGGGAAGGTACGCTTTCGGCGCAGACACCTCCGAAGAAGATCTCGCTAAAGACGACAGAAGCTGGCAAGGACCTCTGAAGGCTTCCGACCATGAGTGCGCCTTCGGCGATGCGCCGCTAGCGCGGGAGGGAAACCTTCATAACGATCAGGATACACGGTAGTTCCAGTTGGTTGAGGTTGCATTGGAAAGAGCTCGGGACGCTCGTTCTAACGAGCCCAAGAGCGCCGGAGATGGATCAGGGACGAAGAAGTTATGAGCATCGGAAAACTCGTATCCGGACATGCGCCGTTCGCGCTAGGGTTCACCGTCGGAAAGGACTCCCGTACGCCTTCGGCGATGTGCCTTCGGCGGAACCACGCGCTCATGGGAGGAAATCAACTCAGAGGCGGAAGCGCCTTTGGCGGCTGCGCAACGGAAGAGAAGCGCCGGCCGGATGTACGCCTCTGACGTGGCGCGGATAGGCGGATGCGCTAGCATGATTTGCGCCGGCGGGATATGCGCCGTCAGCAATAGACGGGGCAGAACGGACAAAACAAGTAGTACGAATACGCACCGGCGTAATTCGCGCCGACTTGATGTGCGCCTCCAGTGAGGCGCCGACGGAAAAGGAATACGCCCGCGGCGATACGCCTCCGGCGATGGTCAGGTTAGGAAAAGACAACATAGTCGACGCATACACTGCGGCGAACTCGAGTCCGGAAGACGGCGCCGAAACTCGATTCCGGAAGACGATGGCGGCGGGAGAATTCAACATTCACGCATGCGAATGCGCGCAGTGCGGAGACGTGAATTCGAGCATGCGAGGGCGAACCGTTAGGCCGTATAGCCGGCTGCGTAATTGTAACCAGTAAGAACGTTGGACGATCTTGAATTCGGAGAAGAAAAGACTGCTCTCCAGTCTCATTCTCTCATTCTTGATTTTGAGATTTCCAGCTTCCAAGATTACGCGCAAGGGCGGAGAGACCTGCAGTGAGAGGAGAGAGTGCAGAGACGAGTTGCGCAAGGATCTTGACAGACCTTGCAGAGAATTTGCGAGTAGCGAACTTGAGCGCGCAAGAGAAGAGAGAGCGATTGCAATCAGTGTTTGAGCGGCCGACGCGCAGCGGCGATTGTGAGAGAGCGAGCGGAAGGGAGAACGTCTGTGTGTGCAGGAAACGCAATGTCGAAGGTCCCCTTGCTGCGAGTGTCTCCACTCAGAGTGCCGCAGATCGGTCTGCGCGCATTCCAAGATGTGCTAACAAGGCTGAAGCTCGATTTCCTCCTGTGGGGATGGAACTGGACATGTCCGGAGATGGTGCGCCAGTATCTGCAGGAAAGACACAAGCCCTCGCGCGGATTCCGCCCCCATCCAGAGAGGTGGGACATTTGTGACTGGGCGCAGGTGTTGGGCAGGTGTGCCGGCGAGGAAGGGTTTCTCCTCTTCGAGGCCGATAGCGTGAAGGTGTCCAAGGAGGAAGAAATCTCCTACAATGATCTTTTCAAAGTTGCCAGGCATGCCAAGAACGGTTTCCGGACACGGGATTACAAAGATCGATTGCGGAGAAATGTTGCGACTGCATTGCTGCAGATATTGCAGCCGACCAAGACCGCTTACATGCATGGTTGGCAAGTAGGATTTGTGGAGCTAGTGTTGTCAGGAGCTCCAGTTCACTGGGCACGGCTCCTGTGGAAGGTGACGCGCCAACATGCGCAAGAAGAGAGAGGAGGAACCCTCAATCATCTTTCGCCTTACCTGATTGTGTTTTATCGGGCGATGGTATGTTTGACAAATTCAGAGCGGACACGGTTTCCGCTGCTGACCCGGAGTTATCCAGGTAGATACTTGCGGGAGGCCGAAGTAGACACGGATCCGGACGAGGCACCTGCCAGTCCAACTCCGGCTCCGCCTCCAGCAAGAGCAGCAGAAGAGCGTCGAAGTGAGCGCGCTCCGCGAAAGCGGAAATGGGATGAGAGACCTGAGGACAGGCAGCCGGAAGCTCCAACTGCGCCGACTCGGAGTCGGCCAACCAATGAGCCTCACAGCCGGCCGAAACAGAGGGCACGCAAAGTGCCAACTAGTACTAAGGAGACCGGGCGTACTCCGGTCCGGCGGAGTATCCTGCCCACGCAGGAGGAGATAATCGCGCAGATTCTGGAGAAGTCGGCGAACACATCTGCGCAGAAGGCACCGATGCCTCAAGAAGCAGACAGGCGGACTAACAGTCGGCCGACTGCGAGTCGGGCGACTGAAGGTCGGCCAACGGAAGGAAGGTCGCCTGAGCAGCGCGTTGAACCGGATAGCAGGCCGGAAGCAGAAGGGAGTTTGGCTGACGAGCCAACAACCCTCAAAGGGTCGTCTTCGGCAGAAGGCGCTTCTGGGAAAACGCCGCCAGCAAGCAGGCCATGTGGAGTGAAGACGCGCAGGGTAGATCCGACTGCGAGTCGGACAACTGCTAGTCGGCCGACTGCGAGTCGGTCAACTGAAGGTCGGCCAGATTCGCCGACTGCGAGACGGACAGAGCCGGCGACCATTGTGCGGGCGCCTTCGGCGGACGCACCTCCGGCGAAGACACCTTCCGCGCAGATCGCGCCGGAAGAGCAGGCAGCAGAAGCGGGCGGTGCAAAGGTGACAAACGTCACTGCGGCGTTGACCCCTTTGGGAACCGAAGATCGAGCCGGAACAGGGGCTCAAGCAGTGGGATCCCCCACTGCCTTGGATATTTTAGCAGGGAGTGGAGCGGTAGTCGCGGCGGAAGCTGCCGCGCGCCACAGTTCCAGGGAGTCGCCAAGGGATTCGGTGGCGATTGAAATCCTCGAAACGGAGGATGAGACGAGTTCGGAAGAGCAGGTGGCGGACTCTGTGCAGAAGACGCCAACAGGGGTATTGTGCGAGCAGATAGTTCCACTCCTGCGATATTTGGATCGCAAGACATCCAAGTACTCGGGTTCCGGAAAACCGCAGTCTTACGTGGAGACTGTCAAGCGCAGGACGAGGAGCAAGGTGGCCACTTGGGCCTCTAGGTGCCAAACATTGCAGGATAGGAACACTGCCCTCCGACAGCACCTGGCGATCACGCAGAGGCTATACCAAACCCTACAACAACAGAGGGAGGATGCGGCGACGAAAGACCAGGCGGATGCCGAGCTAATGCGGGCAAAGATCGAGTCGGAATTGCAGGAAGAGCGGAGACAAAACCGCATCTTAACTGAAGAGCTTGCACGCCAGAAGCGCGCATTAGAAGAAAGTCAAAGTACACGCAAGGAGGATGAGGAGTTGTTGCGCAACTTGCAATCCGAGTGCGCGGATTTGAGGGCGCAGCGCGCAGATGCGGAAACGCAGCTAGCAGAGGTGGAAGGCAGCTGCCGGACGCGAGAAGAGTTGGCGACGCGGGTGACTCACTGTCTAAAAGGATACGTCCATTGGGAGGTGG